ACCAGAAAGGTGGTTCTATAACAGTGTTAGAGACACATTTCCTGAATATCTGTGTCAGCACCACAGAACACCTCTACAGCTCTGTATCTGTTATGTCTGTTATGTGTGTTCTGGGTATGACTAGCTATAAAATGACGGTATATACGGCCCCGTGGTATACCCGACCACAAGAAACCCTCAAGGGATGACCAAAAGATTGCTGGCTATCAACACAGAACAAAGAGAAGCAATTAAGCTAAAAACATACACAACAGGTAAAAACAAATTGTGTTAATAAATCAAAAAAAATCAAAACAGCTACATATATGAATAGTTTTAAAAAACAAAAAACTGTGTATGTTTTGAAAGGCAATTTTAGTGAATAAATCAAAAGAAATTCTCCTTCTGATTACCAGAAGTTCCTCCGAAAAATTCACCTTTGGCTGACCTGTATATACCCCAGGGGAAAATCATCTATCAATCGTGGCAGGTACAGGTACCTGTAGATACGTACATACAGGTAACTCTCTAAACAGGTATACCCAGGTAGCTAGGCATTATCTATAAATAGACCGCTTGTCACAATCATCTTTGGTCAGTACTCTGGGGGCACCTGCAGGTGTCAATTGCTTGTACATGTAGCATTAATGTAGCACTAGATAATTGGACATTCACTTTCAATTCAACATACTTCCCAATTGTTTACAATTTTCATGGGAAAGATTACGCTTGCTCAGAATTAAAAGCAATAACTAAATGTATACATGAACACATTTAGGAAAAATAACACTTTTAAATGTTGTGCTGTTCTTTCAGATAAAAATACACCAGTTCTTATACAAGAAATCCCAGAGGGATCTTGGCGCCCACCTTTGTACCATCTTCATTAGTTCTTTGTCAGTTCGATCTTTTCTCTTCTTTCCTCTAATCTGTTTGATCGAGTCATGTTAACAGTAAATGCACCTTGAGGTAACTTTTGATCTAAACTTAATACTGATGTGTATGAAAGCCAACCTTCAAAGTGAGTTTGTCATTTCACATATTTACTAGTACAGTACTTAATGTGAAAGAAATAGAATCGATCATTGCAATATGAGAAAGATCTGTTTAGTTCTTCTTTTAATCCATTTTGTTTTTATGATCAGTCTCAAAATATAACATACACAACGAGGGATCAAGGGGAACCTTCATTTAAAATTTGAGAAAGATCCCTCCCGTACTTCCCGAGAAATAGCGATAACAAACTTTCAATATCAAAATCCAAGATGGCTGCCTGTCGGCCATGTTGTTTATCCGATCAGTCTCTAAAATTGCCCTGCACAGCTAGGACCAAGGGGAACCTACATATAAGAAAGATCCCTCTAGTTCTTCCGGAGAAATATCGGTAACAAACTTTCAATATCAAAATCAAAGATGGCTGCCTGTCAGCCATGTTGTTTATCTGATCATCCTCCAAAAAATATAAATAAGTTATTTCATTTAAACATTAATCTTCTTCCTCTTTACTTGAATTTGAGCATGTTTTCAATGCTATTTTGTATTAAAATAAATAACTATGTATTCTTTCAATCCTTGATATTAAAAAAAGTATTCCAGAAATAAACAAATGCTCAACTTAATGTACAAACTATAACAGAAGCAAATACAACATGCATTTTCTGCCAAAACAAAGATAGGGATTTATCCAACTTTTTAAACAATCAGAGTGTAATAGTCCAGGAATTGCATACCTGCACAGAATTGTGGTAAAGCCAAGTTGATACATATTCTGAGATAACAAAAGACACAGTTTATTTGACAAAAAAAAAAAAAAAAAAAAATGAAAACAAGTGCTATAATCATTTAATATTTGACCACTACCATGAATTTTTACATGGAAACTCATAAGTATAAATGATATATATATACTGCAATATTTGTATCAGTGATCTATTTTGTAGTTCACTTGTTTACATTTACATGTTATCATTTACATACAGGTTAAATTAGTTTTTTACTCTTGTTTATATTTACATGTTATCATTTACATACAGGTTAAATTAGTACATGACTCTTGTTTATATTTACATGTTATTATTTACTTACAGGTTAAATTAGTACATGACTTTTGTTTATATTTACATGTTATTATTTACTTACAGGTTAAATTAGTACTTTACTCTTGTTTATATTTACATGTTATTATTTACATACAGGTTAAATAAGTACATGCCTCTTGTTTATATTTACATGTTATCATTTACATACAGGTTAAATTAGTCCATGACTCTTGTTTATATTTACATGTTATCATTTACATACAGGTTAAATTAGTACATGACTCTTGTTTATATTTACATGTTATTATTTACATACAGGTTAAATTAGTACATAACTCTTGTTTATATTTACATGTTATTATATATATGCAAGGTTAAACAAGGTCAGTAAGACGAGTCCCCAAGGTTAAACAAGGTCAGTAGAAAACGAGTCCCCAGGGGTAAACAGTTTGATTAATTGATCAGCGCAAGTCGTCAATGTCACTGTATAAATAATCACAACATTCCATATAGATGAGGATGCATCTAGATAAATACATTCCAGCGTAAATACCGACTTAATTCTGGAACAATGTAACATCATCACCCAGGACTTGCACTGTCATTAACCCTTTCACCCCAATGTAACTTTAGTAGACTCTACCATGCATTGATATATGGATGAGTCCATTATAGTCTACAGTGGTGAAAGGGTTAAGGAGCTATAAGGAATTGTTAGGTATTGGACTACATGTCCTAGCATACATGCACCATGCAAAATGAAGCTCTGATAACTTTACAGTGAATTCCACTTATAGCATGCTAGTTATTGTCACACTACTGTCCATACTACTTTCCTTTCAAGCATGCACAGAATTTAATATTATAGGTAACTGAATTTATTTTATATCCTGGGACTTGTCATGAACTCCTCTCAATATTATGTTTCAATCCAGTGCGAAACAATGGAGACTTTTGTTGTAATGTCCAGAAGCGTCCTTACTAAGACCCTTGTTTATATAAAACAAAACGATCATATAACAGCTATTAAAAAGTTGTTCTCACTAAATCCAGCTTTGCTATGCTTTTGACTCTTTCCATACCATTGTCATGTACATACGACAAAAAAGTGCTTCCAGTTCGTCAATTCCCAGTTGTCATGTATTATACACATCAAAATGATATGCCGTCCCATCCCCACTTTATAGTGTACACACAACAGAAGACTTTTATGTTACCTGCCTTCTGATTAGCTGCTTATAGCACACGACAGTTGTGTAATCCAATTAATTATCGCTAAAATTTGAACCCATCAGTAGTCATTTATAGAAAGATTTTGATAGGTGCAAAGTACACATTTTTCATCATGTGACTTTTTTTTTTTCAAATTACCCCTAAGATGTTGCTTTTGATGGTCATAAACATAAACAACATGGCAGCCAGTGCATTAATTTTGATAGAACATTCGTAAATTCATCCCCATGCATGTAATTATAAATAAATCACGATAAAATGTACTTGTAGTTAAAAATATAAATGACTTCATAAGCGAAATCCATCACTATTGGGGACCTCTGCTACCGAGATGTATTAGAAGACAATGAATCACATTGTTCATTGCAAAAACCCAAGCCATTTTCTTAGTCATAATGAGCTGTAAGTTAGTCATAATGCTTCAAAAATGAAGACTTTAAAAGATAACAACATTGGTTCAGGGTAAAAACTTGTCTATTTCTTGCCAGTAATACAGATTCCAGACTAAAGTTAAGGTACAGAAAGAGTTAAATGACAAGGTTTAATATGTATGTAGGTATCTGAAATATAATATCTTATTTGTACTTTCTGTTTAACATTTATATAATGAAAAACATGCTTTAGTTCCAAAGAAAACCGTTTAAATTTCTGTTAATATCATGTCATGCTTAATATCACGTTGTTCTGTGAAAAATACACAACATCAGACTAGAGAGGAATGTGCTTTACTAATTAGCTTTGATTTTAATTAACCTTCTCCATATTCTCTAAATTTATTTGCAAATTAACAGTTATAGTAGTTCTATTCCAAAGGAATCTCATGTCCTTCAGGTTTATATGTTTACTCTAACAAGTATTTGACATGTACCTGGTACTTCTTCCACATAAATAAGCTTTAAACAAAACTTCTTAAAATCAAATAAATATTTTACACATGAATCAGCAACAAAAAAGATTTCAGATGAACTCCAACATAACCAAAGACAACTGTCTAAAGTTTACACTAATACTGTCATGTGAAGGTGAAGAAGCAACAAAACAACTACAATTTGAAATAAACTCCAATGGCAATAAAAAAAATAACGAGTAAAAACAATCATTCTGAATATTGGCTGGTGCATTAGAACATAGATCTACAGGGTGTGTTACACCATCGACCCACTCACTTCCTCCGGGGTAACAATAGCACTGTTCACTGTGAGGAACAGTAACCTTCCTACAGACCATGATCTCTCCGCAGGCTTACGAAAACAACAAACATCATCACAAGTCTTAGTAAGTACACAACTCCCTGTAGGTGTTACAATGAAATTGTTATTTTTCAATAATATAAATATGAACAACTCTAATTTTCATGCAAAAGTTTGTTTGTCAAACATATCAAGGGAAGTTTTACTTTCTACCACTAAGAACATTTTAGATAATAGTAGTGTTCTCATTGTCTTAAAGCAAATAACAAAATCCCAAAATGTGCTTTATTTATAAAATATGTATAAATCTGTTTTACCAGCCGTATAACAAGAAGGAATTCATAACATTACAAGAAATGTCTGAACTTTTACAACTGGAGTTATCACTTTGATGAGAATTACAGGTGTGTTTCTCTTCTTTTTTAAGTAACACTGAGCTTGACTTCAATTCCCGCCACCTTAACTTACGATGGATCTTTTAATCATATCTGATGCTGAACTGTTTATATGGAAGGCGAACCTGTCAGTTATAATCTGGTACTGTATCTTTACAACTCACCATGTCCTGTGTGAAGATCGTACTCGTTCCGTCTATATGGATGTTTGTTGGTCCACTGTTTGCTCGTCGACGTCCATTCATGGACTGGGAAGATGCGGAGGTATGCAAGTGACGACTGTTGATGTACATCTCATTCTTGATCTGTAGCTTCTTTATATGTTTTCTGGTCAGGCCTCGAACACCAAACCCTGTCTACAGGTACGAAGCCACTTGTTTAATTAGGTTTACGTGACCAATGTCGGATATTTGTCAGCTGAATTAATCAAATAGTATTAAAATATCCAAAAATCACGAAAACTGTCTGTCATTATTATCCATGAATGTGGAGAAAAAATCCCCCCTTTTTAAAATTTTAAATCTCTGTGTCCACAGAGGTATTTTATTTTAGCCACTACTAGGTAATAATTTGAAATAATTTAATTTTGCCTATCTCCCCCATAATATTTTTTTTGGTTTATATCGTATATACCTAAAAAGAAAAACAACTGATGACGGAACTACTTTTTACACTTCAGAATGCAAAATCACAACACAGCTTTTTTTTAGCGCAATTGTTCTTCATAAATTTTTAATTTTACATTTACGTACAAATTAAATAAATCTTTAACTGTGCATTTACAATGTGTTTGTCTACTTTTTTAAAATTAAATTATAAAGAATGACCAAGATTTTGTTTTGGTATATACGGTATATACCGAAAAGAAATTGTGCACTTTTTTGCATAAACCGCTTTGCGGATTTATGCAAAGTGCACAATTTATTTTCGATATATACCGTATATACCAAAACAAAATCTTGGTCATTCCTTAAATATTTTTATGAAGAACATTTAGTGGGTTTTAACAGTTGGGAAAAGACCCATCCCCTACTGGTCTTTATTACAGTTCACAAGTAAATGGAAATAATTTTCATGTACATGTAATAGCTCCCTGTAGTCATTCAGCATATAGGGAATCTTCCTTAAATAAGGAAAAGTGATGTGGACAACCTAGATACTCCCAACCTACCTACCTCTAAATCAACTACGAACAAAGTGATGTGGACAACCTAGATACTCCCAACCTACCTACCTCTAAATCAACTACGAACAAAGTGATGTGGACAATCTAGATACTCCCAACCTACCTACCTCTAAATCAACTACGAACAAAGTGATGTGGACAACCTAGATACTCCCAACCTACCTACCTCTAAATCAACTACGAACAAAGTGATGTGGACAATCTAGATACTCCCAACCTACCTACCTCTAAATCAACTACGAACAAAGTGATGTGAACAACCTAGATACTCCCAACCTACCTACCTCTAAATCAACTACGAACAAAGTGATGTGGACAACCTAGATACTCCCAACCTACCTACCTCTAAATCAAATACGAACAAAGTGATGTGGACAATCTAGATACTCCCAACCTACCTACCTCTAAATCAACTACGAACAAAGTGATGTGGACAACCTAGATACTCCCAACCTACCTACCTCTAAATCAACTACGAACAAAGTGATGTGGACAATCTAGATACTCCCAACCTACCTACCTCTAAATCAACTACGAACAAAGTGATGTGAACAATCTAGATACTCCCAACCTACCTACCTCTAAATCAAATACAAACAAAGTGATGTGGACAACCTAGATACTCCCAACCTACCTACCTCTAAATCAAATACGAACAAAGGGATATAGCAGTGTATATAGAGCAGTGCGAGGCACATTTTCATCATGTGAAATGCCACTATTCTGAGTAGTGATATACTCATTGGGCCGGGCCTTAACTCAGAAAATATTTGAGCACCAGACTTAATTTTATGATGTGATACTTCATTATTCTAGGAGGTACTTACCTAACACATTTGGTTATTATAGGTGAAAGAGTCTATTGAAAATGCCCAGGGCTGAGTAATTCAGTGAACAAAGGGTCATAACTCTACAAATTACTTAGAGTATGAGACCCACTTATAGTGCACTTCATGTATACTCAGTCATCCAGACACCAGAGTTACTCGCATACAAAATCTGCTGATGGTAGCTATAGATAGATGATAAGAGTATATAAGATATGCCCCTGATAAGTAAATACACACACCAACAGCCTGGCTAACAGAGAGCTTACCTATAGTCCTCTGATGAATAGAACCTCACAACACAAACATCTGTTTTATCAAATTAAGACAAAGTGAGTAGGGGTTTACATAGATTCCCCCTCCCTGATTAAAACATTACAAATATTCAAGTCTAAAGAAATCTAGGTTGATCTTTGACTTTCACCGATGACCTCCACACTCACAGAAGAACAGAACTATACTATGATGTAAACGAATCTAATGTAGGGTTCATGCGATATAGTGTGCACACAGTTTTATTTCTGAAGAGATGAAGGGTGATATTACACTCTTTAATTTGTAAATCTAATAAAAACTTACTCTTAAGAGTTTATCTGTACGGAACGGAAACTCCCGACAGAACTGTCTGATGGAAGTGGCTGCGTCTGCATGACCATGTCTGCTGCTACTTCTGGACCTTTTGGCTGAAAATTGAAGGCATTTTTCCATGTCAAAATTTAATTGAAATCAACTTTAAGTAAAAGTTTATGCATGAAAAAGCTGTCAGAAATTCACACAAAGAATAAAAAAAAAAGTGACTTCAGTTTTCTGAAAGTTAATATTATTTTCATCAATTCTCTTAAATAGCACTCTCTTCAGAGAAATACAAATCTGCGTCCATTTTTTTCACGATTTCATCCTAAATTGTATTTTTCAGCTTTCAAATATCCCCTTAAATAAAACTATGTCAGAAACAACAGTTAAAGTTTTTTCTCCTTTAATTTTACATCAGCCTGTTCCTACATGTATTGAGGGAATACATGTATATCGTTAATTATATTGAAATGATACATTATAAGAAGTGAATCTCGTATCTTTTTGCAAGCAGAGATGTACAAAACCACTCATCGGAGGCCCCGGGCAAGTCTATCTTATGTCAGTGAAAATTTTCAATATTTCCTGTGAGAATAATATAGGTCAGAGTTTACCTGCAGGCTGTGACTAAAATGTGTACCCTGATACACACTACTTACCTGTATGTTTGGTGTACAGAATGAGGATAGCCAGGGCAGCCCCGATACACACAACTTACCGATATGTTTTGTATACAGAATGAGGATAGCCAGAGCAGCCCTGATACACACTACTTACCTGTATGTTTGGTGTACAAAATGAGGATAACCAGAGCAGCCCTGATGCACACTACTTACCTGTATGTTTGGTGTACAGAATGAGGATAGCCAGAGCAGCCCCGATGCACACAACTTACCGATATGTTTTGTATACATAATGAGGATAGCCAGAGCAGCCCTGATACACACTACTTTCCTGTATGTTTGGTGTACTGAAACATACTACATGTACTAACCTGTATGTTTGGTGTACTGATACACACCTAACTCACCTGCATGTTTGGTGTACAAAATGAGGATAACCAAAGCAGCCCTGATACACACAACTTACCTGTATGTTTGGTGCACTGAAACACACTACTTACCTGTATGTTTAGTGTACTGATAAAAACTACTTACCAGTATGTTTGGAGTACTGATACACACTACTTACCTGTATGTTTTTGGTGTACAGAATGAGGATAGCCAGGGCAGCCCCGATACACACAACTTACCGATATGTTTTGTATAGAGAATGAGGATAGCCAGAGCAGCCCTGATACACACTACTTACCTGGATGTTTGGTGTACTGATACACACTACTTACCAGTATGTTTGGTGTACAAAATGAGGATAATCAGAGCAGCCCTGATACACACTAGTACTGAAACACACTACTTACCTGTATGTTTGGTGTACTGATAAAAACTACTTACCAGTATGTTTGGTGTACTGATACACACTACTTACCTGTATGTTTGGTGTACTGATACACACCTAACTTACCTGTATGTTTGGTGTACAAAATGAGGATAACCAGAGCAGCCCTGATACACACTACTTACCTGTATGTTTGGTGTACAGAATGAGGATAGCCAGGGCAGCCCTGTAGAAGACTTTGATACCCTCCAGTATAAAACAGTCTATGATACACACCTAACTTACCTGTATGTTTGGTGTACAGAATGAGGATAGCCAGAGCAGCACTGATACACACTACTTACCTGTATGTTTGGTGTACTGATACACACAACTTACCTGTATGTTTGGTGTACTGAAACACACTACTTACCTGTATGTTTGGTGTACTGATACAAACTACTTACCAGTATGTTTGGTGTACTGATACACACTACTTACCTGTATGATTGGTGTACTGATACACACTCCTTACCTGTATGTTTGGTGTACTGATACACACTACTTACCTGTATGTTTGGTGTACAATACACACCTAACTTACGGTGTACTGATACACACAACTTACCTGTATGTTTGGTGTACTGAAACATACTACATGTACTAACCTGTATGTTTGGTGTACTGATACACACTACTTACATGTATGATTGGTGTACTGATACACACTACTTACCTGTGTGTTTGGTGTACTGATACACACTACTTTCCTGTATGTTTGGTGTACAAAATGAGGATAATCAGAGTAGCCCTGATACACACTACTTACCTGTATTTTTGGTGTACAATACACACCTAACTTACCGGTATGTTTGGTGGACAGAATGAGGATAACCAGAGCAGCCCGGATACACACCTAACTTACCTGTATGTTTGGCGTACAGAATGAGGATAGCCAGAGCAGCCTTGATACACACTACTTACCTGTATGTTTTGTGTACTGATACACACTACTTACCTGTATATTTGGTGTACTGATACACACTACTTACCTGTATATTTGGTGTACTGATACACACTACTTACATGTATGATTGGTGTACTGATACACACTACTTACCTGTATGATTAGTGTACTGATACACACTCCTTACCTGTATGATTGGTGTACTGATACACACTACTTACCAGTATGTTTGGTGTACAAAATGAGGATAACCAGAGCACCCCTGATACACACTACTTGCCTGTATGTTTGGTGTACTGATACAAACTACTTACCAGTATGTTTGTTGTACTGATACACACTACTTACCTGTATATTTGGTGTACTGATACACACTACTTACATGTATGATTGGTGTACTGATACACACTACTTACCTGTGTGTTTGGTGTACTGATACACACTACTTTCCTGTATGTTTGGTATACTGATACACACTACTTACCTGTATGATTAGTGTACTGATACACACTCCTTACCTGTATGATTGGTGTACTGATACACACTACTTACCTCTATGTTTTTGGTGTACAGAATGAGGATAGCCAGAGAAGCCCTGATACACACCTAACTTACCTGCATGTTTGGTGTACAGAATGAGGATAGCAAGAGCAGCCCTGATACACACCTAACTTACCTGCATGTTTGGTGTACAGAATGAGGATAGCCAGAGAAGCCCTGTAGAAGACTTTGATACCCTCCAGTATAAAACAGTCTATGTTACACACCTAACTTACCTGTATGTTTGGGGTACAGAATGAGGATAGCCAGAGCAGCCCGGTAGAAGACTTTGATACCCTCCAGTATAAAACAGTCTATGTTACACACCTAACTTACCTGTATGTTTGGCGTACAGAATGAGGATAGCCAGAGCAGCCCTGATACACACCTAACTAACCTGTATGTTTGGTGTACAGAATGAGGATAGCCAGAGCAGCCCTGTAGAAGACTTTGATACCCTCCACTAACTTACCTGTATGTTTGGTGTACAATACAAACCTAACTTACCTGTATGTTTGGTGTACAGAATGAGGATAGCCAGAGCAGCCCTGTAGAAGACTTTGATACCCTCCAGTATAAAACAGTCTATGATACACACCTGAAACAGTAGAGTCAGTTATGTACTATAACTGTATGATAACCAAGCTAAGATAAATAATGATAAACTTTAAATGTCTGTAGGACATAATGTTCCCGCTCATGGATGGGACAGGGCGGGACGGACATGGGAAACACTATATGCCCCCTCATTTTATGGCAGGGGCATACATATCTTGACAAATTAAAGTCAAGTGAAATTTTCAATACTTAATTTGTTTGTAGATATTTCTATTTCAATCATCTTTTAGAAATAATACTGGCCATTTACCAAAATTGTCCTTTTTATTTTTCAGTTGAAATAAGATGTATCTTTGACTAAAAATAGTTTAAACTTAAAAAAATACTCCTTCCAAACCAATATCATTTATCATTAAAACAAGAACACTGTCATAATTTATAACAAGAGGCCCAATGGGCCTGCATCGCTCACCTGGTATAAATCTCACACTTGTAACCTTAAAAGTGATCTAAAATAAAGCTACAGGCAAAATATCAGTATTTATGATTAAAATTCATTCAAAAGACCCTGTTATTTTTTTTAAAACATTTCACCCCTGTGATTGAAAGTCGAAAAAAGTCATTATGTTGAACAAATTGTATAGCCTTTCATCTCAGGATGCAACTTAGTATCAACATCCTGGGACCCATGGTTATTCAGAAGAGGTCGTTTAAAGATTTTAAACAAATTTGACCCCTGTGACCTTGAATATAAGTCAAAGTCATTCATTTTAACAAACATAGTAGTCCTTGATCCCAGCATGCTACTGAATAAATATCAACATCCTGAGCCTTTTGGTTATTCAGAACAAGTTGTTTGAATATTTTGAACATATTTGCTCCTTGTGACCTTAAATATGATTCAAGGTCATACACTTAAACAAACTTGGTAGCCCTTGATCCATTGTTTAAAGTTTTTACCATATTTGACCCCGGTGACCTTGCATATGGGAGAAGGTCATTCATTTGAACAAACTTTGTAGCCCTTCATCTCAGCATGCTACTGGCCAAATATCATCACCCTGGGCATTTTGGTTATTGAGGAGAAAGTTGTTTAAAATTTTTAACAAATTTGACCCCTGTGACCTTGAATATGGGTGAAGGTCATTTATTTGAACAAACTTTGTAGCCCTTCATCTCAGCATGCTACTGGCCAAATATCAGTACCCTGGGCCTTTTGGTTATTGAGAAGAAGTTGTTTGAAGATTTTAAGACATTTGACACCTGTGACCTTGAAAGTTGGTCAAGGTCATCCATTTGAACAAACTTGGTAGTCCTTCATCCTAGCATGCTACTGGCCAAATATCATCACCCTGGGCATTTTGGTTATTCAGAAGAAGTTGTTTAAAGGTTTTAAACATATTTGACCCCTGTAACCTTGAAATGGATGAAGGTCATTTATTTGTACAAAATTGGTAGCCCTTCATCCCAGCATGCTTCTGGACAAATATCATCACCTTAGGCCTTTTGGTTACTGAGAAGAAGTTGTTTTAAAGTAAAATGTTGACGACGAACGGACGACGGACGGACGTCGCACCATGCCATAAGCTCACTTGGCCCTTTGGGCCAGGTGAGCTAAAAAATTCCATCCACTGGTTCCTGAGAAGAAGATGAAAATGTAAAAAGTTTACGCCTGACGGACGACGACGACGGACGGAAAGTGATTGGAATATGTCACTTGAGCAAAGCTCAGGTGACCTAAAAAGGTGAAGACAGGGGTAGTTTTTCATACAAGCTGAGGGAAGGGAAGTTTAGTCATATCGACAAGGTTAGGGGAAGTTACTCATACTTCAAAGATGAAGGAAAGGGAGGCTACTCATACTTACAAGGTGAGGAAAGGGAAGGTCTCTGAAGATCCACCAGTACCACGAGTCAAACACACCATCAATGTTGTTTGTGTTTCGCACAAGGTTCACATACGCCGACTTCTGATAATATATTAAAGAAAATAATTTTTTTTAAGTAAATCTGAAACTAAGTTAACTTTTAACACCTATATAGTATACAGTATATACTAGATTTTTTATCACATACCAGCTGTTGTCTCTTGTTATAGTAATACAAGCAATTTTCATACCACGAAATACAACGTTCTGTATAGCACATGTGCAATATGGAATGTTGTATTTACCTACTAGCAGGAACTACTTTTTATGGGAATCCCCTTGTTATGGCGAACTGAACAGTTCCCGGTATTTGCAAAAAATATCAAAGTATATAAAATCTTTGTATCGATCAAATACGGAAGGTATGTGATAAAAGCAAGATCACACACTTGTGCTTTTCTAACTTATTTATAGCACAGACGTAAATAATCACTTGTGCATATATTCATGCTTTCTGATTCATTAGAAAAAAAGTATGTATTACTTCATTATTATCTGTTAACTATTTAAATATTTAATATCAATTTTCTTTATTACGCATTTTCATGGTAATGATTTCTGGAAATTTATTAATTAATTCTTTTTAAAGTTTGAATCTTAATTTTAAATATTTCTAGTTTTGGACATTTTTATGAACCCTTAATTTTTGCTTTAGGAATTTATACTAACTGCATATGTTTTGGTAAGATCCCTGATCACCATCTTTGTGGCTTCAAATGAAACTTTGGTTTGCATAATGAATGTTTCTTTGGATCGCAGCAGCCCATAAGCACAGTTGTAAGCATCAGACGGGGTCATGTAGTGAAGGAAGACGCTGACCAGACCAAACAATGTCGGGCAATATGTGATGTCAGGATTGGTGTGGTGCATCACTGCCAGGATTTTCTGTACAGATTGGATACCAGGTGTGTTCAGATGGTACGTTGGCAGGTTGTCAAAGTCCACCAAGGATGGCAGAGTGACCTCCCCTGACTGTCCTTCTGCATACAACATGTAAACATTAATTTATATCTCCATATTTTATTGAAATTTTTATATTGGCACAAAAACAAAAAGAAAACAAATTCACGCAAGAAAGTATTTACCAAGCAAATCAAATTAGGATTTAAAAAAAAAGGGAATAAATCTAATTAACTCCCTCTCTTTAAATAAAACTTTTCAGTGAAAAAATGATTTGGCATTGCTCTCATTCTGTATATAAACACTTAATATTTAGTCGTAGTTCTGAAGTTACAGACGAATTAGTATACCCTTTCAAACAGGAAATCTCTACTGACCCAACACATACATGTAGTTATGGGAGAAAATATTTCAGCCACAATGTGTAACAACGAATAATAATATGATACTGATAGTCACAGACAAATAGGAAAAAAATATTAACGATGGCCTTCGATGTGGATACTTACGCTGGTTATAAAGCTCATCAACCATCTCCTCGTAGAAGTCGCCTCCTGCCTTGTGTAGGTATTTACAGGCTTGTTGCCATAGTAACCCGCGCATCTGGTGATCATGTGCCCAAAGACTGGTCCGCAGGAATGCTTTTAGGTGCTTCAGGTTTAGACTGACTAACAAACTCTTGATGTGATCCTCACTGTCTTTTAGGCTGTGGTCTTTCTTCTTCCTCTTCTTCTCCTTTGCTAGACATGACTCCGGGTAGTTCACACTGTCAACATTGACGTGTGACACAAAAGGATGCTCGTAAACCAACACTTTGTCGTCCTCACTTTTCTCTGTTTCCTGGTAAGCAGTGACCTCCAGGTGACCTTCCTCTATATCAGAATCCTGGTCAATCACTTTGTTTTCCTGAACTAAAGTAGGATCTGGTACTATCACATCACCATCCACATCTTCAGATTTAGGCTCAGTTTCATCATCTGAAGAATGTTCATTCAAAATGTGTTCGACCCCTGCGGCTTCAGCAGAAGAATGTGATGTCCCTGTAGCACTACCGGATGGTTCTGTAGCTTCCGTAACACTATCCGATGGCTCTGTGGCTGTGTTAGCACTATCTGAAATCTCTTTTCCAGTTTGATAATCAAGGACACCCTTGAGTTTGACACTTGGGATAAAAATTGCTTGTTCTGTGTCTGATTCTACCGTCTCCTGATTGTCTCCCCTTGCCAGGCCCAGCAGTGTGATGCTATTGCTGGTCTTTTCCATGCTCTCCTGACTTGAACACTTGTGTAAATGTCCAGTGATCATGTCTGGTGTTGCTTCGTTACTTAGTGTGTTTTCAGAATCCTCTACCGATAGCTCCAGGAAATGGCCTGCAGCCTCTACCGGTTGTACAGAAGTCAGTTCAATCAGAGCGTCATCCAGGATATCTCTTGACAGATTTTCATCTAGACAACTAGCGATCTGTATTTCATCCAGACCACCATCAGGAGGAGTTTCATCTACTTTTGGTAGACTTTCATTAACAGTATCTTTTGGCAGATTTTCAATCAGGCTAGCACTCCCCTTCAAATAGTAATCTGGGTGAGTTTTTTCGTCATCAACCTTCTTCTGATATTTGTCGTCAGAATTAAATGACAGATCTGAATCAGGTTGCAAAAGTCTTTCTTTGTCTCCACTTTCATCAACAAAATGAATAGATTCTAATGGTGTACTGACAGTCAGATTATCCTTCTTTTCATCAATTTTTTCAGAATCTATGTATTTTGGCTCAATTTCATCAGTTGAAGATGTATTGTTTTCATCAAAAGGCAAGAGTAATACTGTATCCCCATAGGATTCCTCTTTGGTGTTGTACACAAATTGTAACTCTGAATCTGTTTCTTTGGTTTCATCAAGCAATGGCTGTTCTAGATCTGTGTCTTTGGAATTTGTGTTGGATTTCAGTTGATTGCATTCCTCCTCAGACTCATCAGGTATCTCTGTGTCCGTAGACTGTGCTGTCTGTGTTACACCTCCTACAACATCCTTGACCTTCACTTCGTCGTCTGTACTTGAAGATTCATTTAATAGATCCTCATTTCCTACTGTCTGGCCCTCAGCTGCCATAGGCAACGACAGCTCTTCATGACTTATGAGGCCCAATAAATCTGTATTCATTGAGAAACAATTTCTGTATGCTAACCACTTAATAAAATTTCAGGATTACAAATACCTGTATATACACAAAGCGTAATAAATACTAGATTTATGCAGAATGCCAGCACACACAGCTGGTCTTATGAAATGTTAGAAGATATACAAATGTCAGCATGTATGCCTTTCATGTGAGATTTATATCAGTCAACATGTTGAGTTTTGTGAGATTGCTATCCATTCACTTCAAATAAATCGTACAGCATATCCCTTGATATAGTTTGGTGTACAAGCAGGAGATAAAACCACGGTGTCATAGTCAGCACGGGCAGCAACTTCCAACTGTAACAAAAATACAAGCAATAAAACAAGTCTCTGTGGTATTAAAACTGAATTGTGACATTGGTCAGGAGCACATTATATTGTGATTAAATTCCAACATTTTATATTTGAAGTTGATTACATTTAATCAATACAAATATTGTGAACATGTTTGTATCAAAGTTTTACTTAACACAAACAATGTATGTATCAAACGACGGTTACTGTCACAATGTTTCAAGACGGATACATGTACCTGAAGGATCTTTTGCCAAGCTATGGCCGAGTGAGAGACTTATAATGTTTATGCATACCTGTACAACGATGTTACAAAATCGTAGACTTTGTCGCTGGACTAACATACCATGGGACATTTTTATACATGTACACAATTTTCCAAATTGATGAATCTAATTTAAGATAATTATGGAAAGATTGTTAAAGCCTCCCTTTCACCACTGTAGACCAAAATGGAATCATCCAGATGAATGCATGGAAGTCTACTAAAGTTACGGGGTGAAATGGTTAAAGGATCCCTGTCCCACTGCAATGTGGGGGTTTTCATAATTATACACAGTAATCTCCCCTTAACTTCAGTTTGGATCAATGTAGCACAGTTGGGGCAAGGCAACTCTGTTGACCAGATAGCCCAAACAGTAAGAGTGATTAATGTGAAGTCCAGGGTTTGAATCCTGGTCTAGCCGCCACTAATTTTTTACTCACAAATTGTCTATATTTTTTGTTTATTTCATTTTTATTATTTCTCATAGTAGTCAAAAAGGTGTGGTTTTCTTTTCAGAAATTATTTATCAAAGCTTTAGTCACGCTGGAAAAACAGTTTCCAATAATTTGTTACATTTTTGGTAGTGGTACAGGGACCCTTAAATCAACAACTCACAATTGAAATTTGACTTGTCTCGCTTAGTCTCATAAATAACTTCATCTGCAGAAATTGATCTGGTTTCCTTTGTCTAATTCTAATGGGTAGAATTTACCTCCACAGTATCTCGAAGTTTTTGATATTCACATTTATTTATTTATTTTATTTAATTATTCTTTGTTGTTTAAGGTGCCATGAGTTTGCAATTTGCTGTCCAGGTTGTGATAGTACTTTAGTTAGCCTGATCACCTGTTCTATTGCCTGGATGTGTGTTAGGGGTTCCCTGCTCTTACATGTACATGTATATCATGATCATGAGCTGCTATCAATAACATAATGTGAAGGTCTTTTGGATAAAGGTAATATAAGGGTCCATGCTGGGTTAGATTGAATCTTTGGGGCAATTTAATTCATTTGTTTATCACAGGTACCGGTACATAGGGAAAGGGATCTTTCATCCAGCTAGAGACAAACATATATTTATTATATTGTAAATGGAGTACATGAACATTCAAACTTTATTTTTACCTAGACACATGAAATGTGAATGTACATTTGGTGCACATCATCTGCACATGTTACACACAACTGTGCGATTTAAATATCTGTCATGCTGTTGTGCCTTTCTGTAGGCAAATACATGCGATTGGGTACGATTGATTGATCAATATTACAGAATAAAAAGTTAAACATTCCAGAAGACTCCGGCATTGTATCAATTCACACTCAATTTCATGATACATAATCTCAACATGAATTTTTCACAATAAATATAGCTATCCAATTAAGTGAAGTTAATCATCAGCAAAAAGATTCAGTAGCAACAATTTTCTGCTGTGTACAGTATTTTGTGGTATGTGAAATCGAACGTTTCGTAAAAGTCTTGATAAACAGGTGGATAGCTTTCAAAATTTCAACAAATTTGATTGTCTCTCGTTGCTATTAGTATTGTATACTGATCATTAGAACTTTTTGCCCAAATATTTGCACTTCGCTGCTCAAATCAATATTGTAAGTTTGTGTAAATTTCGCCCTTTGTATAAATGCAGAATTATCATATATCATATGGTCAGTGTTTTTTTTGCTCAGGTCTACTGCCGAATAGAGGCTGTTTCGGAGTGAGTGTTTCCCCTAGCTTAAAGTGCGTTAGTTTTCCAAAATGACCAAGAACAGAGAAATATATTCCCAATTTCAATACAAATAGTGTTATATTTTTCCAATTCGTAAAAGGAACAGACTGTTGTAACATTTAGGTAACAAACACACTGATGTTATGCTGTTTGCTAATGTTTTCTGTCATGGTAAATTCATAGTCATTATGAAGGACAAAGAAGGCCAAAGTTAAACTACAGTAAACATTTCCCGGTATACAGCACTCTGGTAGATATCTGTTTACTTAATATGGATTTGGTGCCCATACATAAATAATGGACCACCAATGTTAGTATTACTTATGATACATGTACTTATATACATTTAAAAATGTCCTGTACAACATATTTATATTAATATTTACTTGAAACTTTGGCTTCTAATTCAAGTGACAGGAAAGATTTAATCCTTACAGCAGGACATGTTGAATTGTTGTGTCTGCATCGATTCAAACAGAATTTGAACAGGTCATTCAATCAATCGATATATAATCATAAGTGAAATAGTTTAAAAGCTGTAAAACATGTTTGAATAATGTTGGGTTAGCAACAAGCATAGTTCCTTGTGTAGGTTATCAATATAGGTAACATTTTTACTCATTATTATTGATTGAAACAATCTCCTGTAATTCTAAGAAAATTATGCTGATTGAATAAATTAAAAGTGATTAAACTGAAGGAAGTAAATCATGCAGCTCTAAGCAATTTTCCCCGTTGAAAATGTATGGAATAGAACAAGAAGATAAGTAAATATCAGGCGGCAAGTAAAACATACAAACGAGAATAACTGTTACTCAGTACAGCAATATATACCTTGATGTTTTTTATGCATCTAGAAAAGAAGAGCCTTGAGTTTGCATGCTAATAATAAATCATCCACTGACATATATGATATAGGTAAATATCATTATTATCTAACATGTGATTATCAGAATATATCTTAAGTTGGCTGGTGAAATAGGCGGATTATATTACGTAATGATTTCAGGCAAAACCAAAAGTCGGTCAATTATATTGGAAAGTTCTCGGTCACGTACCTGGTAGGTTTATGGATGGAAATTTTCCGCTGTTAAAAATCTGTAAAATAAACAAAAACAACGCGTAATGTCAGGAACTGTCTATTCTAAACAAAGAGAGAGAATGCTTTAGTAATCTTCGAGCGAAATGTGTTGTCATGTGGGAATCATGTGGGAATCTCACATGCGATTATCATCCTATCCCGTAAACATGTTAAATTAGTCCATTAAAAACTCAGTTCTCGTCCGTTATTTGTCTTTTCTCTATTATAAAACATCCACTCAGATACCAAGTCGTACCAAGCATCCACAATATATTTTATTAGCCGTGCACCTTTCTTATGATTCAGATTATTCTTTCACTTACCGCCGTGAAGAGGAGGGTCACAATTTCGACGCCATATTTGTTGACAAGCAAAGTCGCGGTGAAGTCTCGTAAATCACGAGAGTTTTAAAGTGACCTCACATCGGTGACCTCGCGCGGCAAGACGTGTTTTCTCGCACTATTTATTAATTTTCTTGCTTTTTGATCTAAACTTTACATACAAAGGATCAACTGCAATGACCAAAACACCAAAATAGCTCTAATACCCTTGTTGATCCGTGGCAATGTGCTTATTTTTAATGAAGTAGTATATATTACGTCTCTGGTGATATATGATTATGAAGCATTTTATTGAAAGAATCAGGATACATTTCAAATTGCTCTCTTTATTTGGTATTTATTTTACATGCCGAAGTATTTACACTTAAAAAAAATAAAAATAAAAGGAGCTGTCGGCTTACACAACAAAATTTGGACAAGATTTCGGAGTAGTATTTGACCATAAACTAAATTATAGTGGTCATGTCAACGAGTGTGTCTCCAAAGCCAACATAATCCTCGGACTGATATTTCGGACATTCACATTTACAAACAAAGACATGTATTTTCAAAGGTTTAAAAGTTAAGTGCGGCCACATTTGGAATATGCCACCTGCATATGGTCTCCAATGTTTAAAAAAGATCAAATTGTCATTAAAAATGTCCAACGCAGGGCAAGAAGACGCCTACCATGCATTCTTAAAAGGACAATCCTACAGTGAAAGACTTTGTACACTGGGGCTCCCCAGTTTAGAATATAGAAGATTGCACGAGAGGAGATGTCGTACAAATCTATAAAATCATCAATGACGTTGCCATTTTGGACAAGGGCAACATTATTAAAATGGGTACATTGGTTACAACAAGAGGAAATTCCAAAAAGCTTTTCAAGAGAAGGATGAGGCTTAACGTAACCAAGAACCTGTACAGTAGTAGGGTCGTGGACGATAAAGATGATATATCATCACCAAATTTAATTATGTCCGGTTGTGAGTAACATGTAGGTACACATTTTTGTTGATATACGTCATTGGAAAATAATGACCTCTGTTACACATACGATATCTTACACAGACTCACGTTTTCCCCACAGGACTTTATTTATATAAGTAGTTAGTTACTTTTTAAAAATAACTGGTTGAAAAAGACTTAAATATGTTAATGAAACAAATGTCGGCCTACGTACAGCTCTCATCCCTTATCAACGTGACCTCAAATATCCGCATATAGCGATACATATCGTACATATCCGGTAACAGCTCTGTACTCTACGAAATCCCATACATGTATTAGCCGAAACACTTCACTTGTTACTGATACAGGAGAAAATACACTGGTTTATTGAATATACAATATGTAAGTTGGATGAGACAGTGCTCATTTTCTATTTTAAATGATTGGGGTCCTTTTTTGGCAATGTACATTCTTAGAACATACGTACAACGACTAATTGACTATATAAATGTACGTCTATACAGACTGACAAAATACATACTTTAAGCAAATGCTGTTTTGATAATGTATGTTAAAAAACACTTAAATAAAACAGTAAAATAACATTTTAAGAAGTAAGACTCACTTTAGCGATTTATGTTGAAGGTCCTGGTGCCCTGGCACAATGTCAGTACTTTGTTCACTATCAATTATGTTTAATTTCTTCATTGTTTATAACTGTCGACGTTCATTCATACAAAATAGACGCCCATAACGTTTAATTTCAAATGTTTTTTTCGTGCTTTATGTAATTAAATCTCATGATCAATCCTCATACATACAACGTTCAGTGTTTAATTTTAGTATTTTTGAAAATATACAAAATTAAGTTAGCAATAAGCAGACCAGGCATAACCCGGTATATGTTATTTGTGATTAAAAATCAAAACTGACTGAGACGTAAATCTTAATATAGCGATTGATTGATACTGTTACAAAATAGTTACTGCTGTATAATAGGTCTAGGTATGTACATTGCCATACAAGAGGAAATATATTACAGTTATTTCTGTACACTAATTCAAAGTATGGATATAACTATATAATTACTGTTGTACGTTAGTACAAAGTATGATTGTTACTATATAGTTACTGTTGTACATTAGTACAGAGTATATGATTGTTACTATATAGTTACGGTTGTACATTAGTACAAAGTATGATCGTTACTATATAGTTACTGTTGTACATTAGTACAAAATATATGATTGTAACTATATAATTACTGTTGTACAGTACAACAAAGTATGATTGTAACTATATAGTTACTGTTGTACTGTAGTACAAAGTAGGATTGTAACTATATAATTACTGTTGTACAGTACAACAAAGTATGATTGTAACTATATAGTTACTGCTGTACTTTAGTACAAAGTATGATTGTAACTATATAATTACAGTTGTACATTAGTACAAAGTATATGATTGCAACTATATAATTACTGTTGTACATTAGTACAAAGTATATGATTGTAACTATAGTTACGGCTGTGTACAATGACAAAATGTTACACGTCGGTTTACAGTTACAATACACGACAGTGAACACTCACACGGAGGTGTAACTATATAAAGGTCTAGGTATGTACATTGCCATACAAGAGGAAATATATTACAGTTATTTCTGTACACTAATTCAAAGTATGGATATAACTATATAATTACTGTTGTACGTTAGTACAAAGTATGATTGTTACTATATAGTTACGGTTGTACATTAGTACAAAGTATGATTGTAACTATATAGTTACTGTTGTACATTAGTACAAAGTATATGATTGCAACTATATAATTACTGTTGTACATTAGTACAAAGTATATCATTGTTACTATATAGTTACTGTTGTACATTAGTACAGAGTATATGATTGTTACTATATAGTTACGGTTGTACATTAGTACAAAGTATGGTTGTTACTATATAGTTACTGTTGTACATTAGTACAAAGTATATGATTGTTACTATATAATTACTGTTGTACTTTAGTACAAAGTATATGATTGTTACTATATAGTTACGGTTGTACATTAGTACAAAGTATATGATTGTAACTATATAGTTACTGTTGTACATTAGTACAAAGTATTTGATTGTAACTATATAATTACTGTTGTACATTAGTACAAAGTATATGATTGTAACTATAGTTACGGCTGTGTACAATGATAAAACGTTACACGTCGTTTTACAGTTACAATACACGACAGTGAACACTCACACGGAGGTGTAACTATATAAAGGTCTAGGTATGTACATTGCCATACAAGAGGAAATATATTACAGTTATTTCTGTACACTAATTCAAAGTATGGATATAACTATATAATTACTGTTGTACGTTAGTACAAAGTATGATTGTTACTATATAATTACTGTTGTACTTTAGTACAAAGTATATGATTGTTACTATATAGTTAAGGTTGTACATTAGTACAAAGTATATGATTGCAACTATATAATTACTGTTGTACATTAGTACAAAGTATATGATTGTAACTATAGTTACGGCTGTGTACAATGACAAAACGTTACACGTCGTTTTACAGTTACAATACACGACAGTGAACACTCACACGGAGGTGTAACTATATAACTATAGGACCTGCCGTATATCAGTTCTTAATAGGAGTTACTGTAAGCACTTCAATAGACCAAACACATAATTCTTTTACTCGTAACATAGTCTAGTGACATATAAGCTGATTGTTTTAACATTTTATAAAAACTGCATATAATCAATTAAAATATTGAAATTAAGAATGTTATGTTTAGAGGGACTAAAATATTCGTTTTAGTTTTACACTCGGTAGAAAATATACACTGTCACATAAAATAAACTGTACACAAACGTCACTCCAGTAGGTACTGTCGGGTAAAGGGACGGCTAGCATGGGCCACCGTACACTGTAGAACGGATGTCGTCTGCCTAACATATCCTAACAAATAAAACTAGTATAAGGCGCTGACATGGATGTACCTGACTACGAAAGGAAATCGACTCGACACCTAGTGCTACTTCTGTCATTTATAATACGGATATCTATTGGTAGGTATACACTTTTCTAACCCTTTTAAAAAAAAGACACAATGACACAAGCACGTCTAGTAAAACACGTGAGAGTGTGTAAGGCAACTGTGTTGTTTTTAGGTGTAGTATATATACGTACGTAGGAACTGGTGATGGAGGGAAGATTTACGTCCCGTTATTTATAGGGGAGGGGGGGGGGGGGGGGGGTCCACTATACATGGCAGAGAGTACATAAACAGACGAATGAGTGCTGTGTGTATATTTGTTTCAATGTAGCCTCAATTTTGTATATTTGTCAATGTAATGATACTGATGTAACTTGTGGTTATATTTGTGTAAGGATTCGTAAACTACACGCATTTTGTGTGTTGTGTGCATTATATATATAATATACTGTACGTGTAGACAAAAGTACGTTGATTTTTCAGTAGGGCAGAGCAATCCATCATTGTCTAGGTCAGCGGCTACGGACGAGTGGGGCTTGTGGGTGATATACTAGAACTAGCAACTATTATAGACTTGTACAAGCCCCAATATTCCAATATGTCTTAATTATCTGTTATAGTAGTGATGCTGACTTGTGTCGGTCATACAAGTATAGTAAGTCATTGTCTGTTCTTCAATTTCACACTTTTATAAACAAGAAATGTATTGATCACACACGTCAGTAGTGTATAACCCATCTGTCCTTGAAAACATGCAAGGACCCAACAAACTCTTCAACTTCAGCCGCCTTTCTCAATCTTGTACGTGTTGCAGTCGATTCGATATCAAATAGTTGGCTCCGAATACCAGTATTTCCGTCGACTGCTGACGCACAAAGCTATAACACAGGGTTTCGTAGGATGCTGGTTGAGGAGGATTATGGACACGTTTTATGGTAGCCACAATAATTACTCTCATTGGGAAATATGCTATTTCTTTGTGTTATATGAATATCAACGTTTTCCGTTACACTCAATGTGCATTGTTGTTTTGTTGTCACTACCCTGGTCCTCGCTAAGATAACGTGACAAACCTTTGATTTGACCTAGCCTTGGCGGCTGTCGTCGATGAAGCAGAAAAGGGTACCCTTGCGGAACACCTGGTCTTAGTAATCGATGTATGGAAAGTAATATTTAGTTTTCATTCCACTGAGTGTCGTGATGGCCGAGTGGTTAAGGTGTCTGACATCTATGATCGTGAATAGCCCTCCGCAATTGCGTTTTCTCCGGGTACTCTGCATGGTTTCCTCCACCACCTGGCGGTATTTTTACAAAAAGTAATCCGATTTGGGTACTGATCCGATTTGGGATTTGCCTTCTGACATGTTCTGTCGTCTGACGAACCGACGAGTGTAAGATACTGCAAAATTCAAGCCTTGGTCCGAGTTGGGTCATGACATTCGCAAAAACTGAAAACGCTGATTGGTGACTTCAGAGCGTTTCATAAATATCTCAAGTGAACCCCGGGTGCTATTTTCGTTTGTAAGAACACCCATCGATTTTCTTCCTTTGATACAACCATAAAGGTATGAAATGCATCCTCAGAATACTATCACCTTCACTGTTGAGAATATGGTAAACGGTAGTTTGAAATCATTTATTTTTTAAACTTCTTATACTTAAGATAAACAATAAGACAAACAGCGGATCTTGCATCCCCCCCCGGCAGCTTTAGTTTAAGCAATGGGAGACAACTCGAACGACAGTTAAATTGCTTACTGAAAATTTTAAAAGACATTAGCTTTGTTGAGACGTGTTTAATGAAAGTTGTTTGTGGCGCTATTAGGCAACCCAACTTAGGTTAGCTAAGGTTGTTTGTCGAAGTAACTTATTATTTGTACTTGTGTGTTTTTAGAGAAATTATATGTTTTTGATATAGAAGCCACACGGTGACTTAATCAGTAACATTTATAACAATGTTACCCTTTGATTGGCCTTATTAATTCAAATCTTGCCGGAGTTGGTCTTGTTATGAGTGAAGAGGCATACACAATATTAAAGTTATATGACTTTCCCTTTAAAGCGTGCAACATGCCTAAACTAAAACCTTTGCATGAAAACCAATGTGACTGTCGTCATAACGGAAGTGACGCATACCTGACGTGCTATTCTGACGTCGATTGTTACAACGCCGGAGACGCCAACATCATACACCACTTTTGGAGTGGATACTTTGAAAACGGAACCTTTCAAGAATTGTCAGAAGATCCGAAATACCAGTATAACATACGTACTGAAAACCGTGGGTGAGTGAAGAGACACACTTCTAGAACCGGTTTATTTATTCTTTCATAGATTATGTTCTCGATATTATGATGTCATTGACCCCCTTTTAACTAACATAAGTAATTTTCTAGTGTCTACCGAAGAGACGTTTTTACAATGGTCAAGGACATGAATTTTGTAACACAATGTCAAACTAAATTCATTATTGTGCCTGTTTTACCATTTTTAAATTGTTGTTCCCCTGTATTACCACTTTTTAATTGTTGCTCCCCTGTTTTCCCACTTTTGAATTGTTTTGCTCGTTCTACCTCTTTTTAATTTAGTCTGGGAGCCAACTGCCATTTTTCCCCATAACCTTGCATTGTTGTATTAAGTTTTTTTTACTGTTGATTTTGGTAGCCAAGGGTCTCTATTTTCAGAAACTGCTTGATGACATGTTGTCACCCTTGAGCAATTTGAGAAATTCAAGATGGCGTCCAAGATGGCCGCCATTACATATAAATGACCATAACTCCCTACCTGTTCATCATAGGAAGGTGATTTTTGTCTCTATACCTAGGTTTTAGGGGTCAAGCTATCCATTAGAACTAAGTATTATGTTAATATCGTATTACATAATGGTAATTTCCAAGATGGCTGCCAAGATGGCCGCCATTACCTATAAATGACCATAACTCCCTACCTATTCACCTTAGGAAGGTGATTTTTGTCTCTATACCTACTAGGTTTTAGGGGTCAGGCTATCCATAAGAACTAAGTATTATGAAAATATCATATTGTAATAGACGGGCACTAATAATTTTGGGTCGATGTCTTGATTAAACCTGTCCTGCTCACCATGATGTTCGTACGGGCTGAGCGCGAAGGTGACTGGCCACTTCATCTGGCAACCTACAAGCAAATGCTACCATACTTCTTTGCTGCGGGGCATGTGAACTATGCGAGATATGGGTTGTGCTACCTTCGTGAGATGGAACGGCTACCACAAGAGGTGTTGTCACACTTTATGAAGGGTGAGTATGTTATGCACCATTCTGATGGCTTATGGAATGGCATCTGGAGCGATATGATGATTGAGACGACCTTCATGCGGTATGGGCATGCTCCTGGGGGGATAGTTGGCATCACGCTTAAGCCAGAAACGCTGAAGGTATGGGCCTTTAGTTTGCATGCATGCAGCAGGTTGGAATCTGATCTGGATGACATGACGGATGAGGACACTCAAAGTAAGGTGGTGACAACACACAAAGAAGAGGCAAAAGCCAGGATTGCTGAAGACAAGAAAGACCGAGATGGAATCAGACAAAAACTCGACACTTGCATTAATCCTTTAGATTCTGCGGCACACCCCAGTGGTATAGTCAATGTAGTTAGCGGCCAGATTGGTTCAACTGAAGTCAATGTCCACAATGCTGTCACAATCGGGACTGAACAAATGACAGTTTTCGAAAGTCGGTTACCGCAGGGACTTTATGAAACCATCACGAAAAAGGTTGTTACTATGGATCATGCAAGGAAGCATGTGAAGGTCGGAGCTGTGAAAGTATTTGATACCAATTTGATTTACGCAAGGGTGATTGGCCTACAGGTTAGTGGGCGGGACATTGACATTAAGGATGTGCTTGGTCATGAACTTGCGCCAGTTCCAACGTCCATGTTTGATGATCCTGTAGATATGAGGATTGCGAAATCTAAATCTACCTTGAAGAAAATTCTCCAAGTTGAGGTGTCTGATAGAGTTGCTGGTGGTGCAAATGTTAGTGTACTCGATGGCTCAGCAATACTTTGGGTAGTTCCTTGGCCTGCTGATGGGTCTGTGAAAGACTATATAGCGAACTTCAAATATGCCATAGGAAAAAGGTTACGGGTCGAGGACGTGTATCTGATATTTGACAGATATTATGATTACAGCACGAAGAGTGTTACCAGAGGATCTAGGGCAACTGGTGTCAGTAGGGCTCATCATTTGCAAGTCAACAGTAAACTTCCAGCGCAGAAGATTCTACTAACCTCTTCCAAAAACAAGAAGCAACTGATGCAACTGATAGTTGATGATTTTGTCCAGGATAAGAAGTTTCATGAGGACAACACACAACATCACAAGTTAGTGGTAACAGGAGCAGATCCGGTGCCAATCGAAATCAGTGAAGGTGGAGTTGTCATCTCACGGGCAGATCTGTCAACTTCACACGAAGAAGCAGATAACGTCATTGTCCAACAGGTCTTGAGTTGTGCCGCGGAAAATGCAGAAAGCAAAATCACTGTTGTTGCCGATGACACTGACGTCTTTGTACTGTTGCTGCATTATCATCACATGGCAAATCTCAAGAATGTTGTATTGATGGAGTCCCCCATCAAAGGAAGGGCGGTGGTTGATATAGGCAAAACTGTGCAGAAGCATTGTCAGATAGTCGAAGGAATACTCCCGGCACATGCACTTTCTGGCTGTGACACCGTCGCCTCCTATTTTAAAATTGGAAAGGCTACTGTACTCAAAACACTTCGATCGGGGCACTCACTTAACTTGTTGGGTGCACCAGGGCATTCTATGGAATCTGTTATTCAACAGGCTACCTCCTTCATTTCCGCGTGCTATGGACAAACAGACTGTAGTACAATGTCAGAGACAAGGTTAAAGGTATGGCTGTCACAAACAGGCAAAGGGTCATCAACACCGAAGTTGTGTACCTTGCCACCAACAACTGAGGCATTCAAAGAGAATGTTAAAAGAGCTCACTATCAGGCTTTGGTATGGCGGTCACTGGAAGCGCAGAATCCACCCGAGTTGGACTCAACGGAATATGGTTGGGTAAAGGATGACCAAAACAAGTCCCTTCAACCAGTCACCCTACCTGATGAAGTCGAACTAGCCCCACAGATGGTACTACGTCTAATAAAATGTGGATGCCACAGTACTACTCCATGCAGTTCACGTGCTTGTAGTTGCAACTCTGCAAACATGAAATGCACAATATTTTGCGCCTGCTATAATCAGGGTTGCTGTAACCTGACATCATAGCTGATTGCATGTCTTTGTGATGCACATGGGCAACACAATGTACAACAGTGTAGATTATTTGGTAAAGTGGTAGCCATCCTTAATTATGAATTGTATAATATGCTTTTGGTAGTCTGTGAGAATTCAGATTTACAATTAAAGAACATTTGTTATAATATAACACCTGTGGTCGTTTACCTTTTCATATTTTCCACCAAGATTGAATAGTATAGAAGATATACCAGTGCTTGTAAACTGGCAGCCATCTTGGATTTGTAGATGACATCATCAGTATATGAACTTTGATCTGATACAGATAGATGTGTCTCCAAAATACTCAGGGATAGACACCTTCACGACTAATTTGGAGTAAATAGTATATATGCCAGTTTTAGTGTTACGGCGGCCATCTTGGCAGCCATCTTGGAAATTACTATTATGTAATACGATATTAACATAATACTTAGTTCTAATTGATAGCTTGACCCCTAAAACCTAGGTATAGAGACAAAAATCACCTTCCTATGATGAACAGGTAGGGAGTTATGGTCATTTATATGTAATGGCGGCCATCTTGGACGCCATCTTGAATTTCTCAAATTGCTCAAGGGAGACAACAGGTCATCAAGCAGTTTCTGAAAATAGAGACCCTTGGCTACCAAAATCAACATTAAAAAAACTTAATACAACAATGCAGGGTCAACCATCTCTGCCCCCGGACTATTTGTTGCGTCACGACGGACCACTTTTTAATTGTTGCGTCACGATGGACCACTTTTTAATTGTTGCGCCCACGATGGACCACTTTTTAATTGTTGCGTCCACGATGGACCACTTTTTAATTGTTGCGCCCACGATGGACCACTTTTTAATTGTTGTGCCCACGATGGACCACTTTTTAATTGTTGCGTCCACGATGGACCACTTTCTAATTGTTACGCCCACGATTTGCAACTTTCTAATCGTTGCGTCCTCGATGGACCACTTTCTAATTGTTGCGTCCACGATGGACAACTTTCTAATTGTTGCGTTTACGATGGACAACTTTTAAATCGTTGCACCCCTGTTTTCCATTTTTTAATTGTTGCTCCCATAATTTACCACTTTTTGATTATTGCTCCCCTGTTTTACCAATTTTTAATTGCTTCTTTCCTGTTTAACCACTTTTTGATTGTTGCGCCCTGTTTTATCACTTTTTAATTGTTGTGCCCTGTATCACCACTTTAAAATTGTTGCTACCCAGTTTACAACTTTATAATTGTTGCGCCCTGTATTACAACTTTATAATTGTTTCTCCCCTGTTTTTACCAATCTTTAATTTGTTGCTTCCCTATTTTTCCATTCTTTAATTGTTGCTCCCCTGTTTTCCACTTTTTAATTGTTGCTCCCATAATTTACCACTTTTTGATTATTGCTATCCTGTTTTACCAATTTTTAATTGCTTCTTTCCTGTTTAACCACTTTTTGATTGTTGCGCCCTGTTTTATCACTTTTTAATTGTTGTGCCCTGTATTACCACTTTAAAATTGTTGCTACCCAGTTTACAACTTTATAATTGTTGCGCCCTGTATTACAACTTTATAATTGTTTCTCCCCTGTTTTTACCAATCTTTAATTTGTTGCTTCCCTATTTTTCCACTTTTTAATTGTTGCTCCCCTGTTTTCCCACTTTTGAATTGTTGCGCCCTGTTTTACCACTTTTGAATTGTTGCGCCCTGTTTTCCCACTTTTGAATTGTTGCGCCCCTGTTTTACCACTTTTTAACTGTTGCTATGTGTTTTTTCCCACTGGTACGCACATATTTTACTATTGCTACCTTTTGTTTCCAAGAAAGGACATGACCCGGTTTGTTACTACTCTGACCATTCCTAACGTTACCGATGTGGACTACATCCGCAGATTCCAGTTCTCCGTTACTTCTGAATTTGGAAGCTTGCAGCCACTGCCTCCGATATCACTCTGTAACAAAACAGGTTAGTGGAACTCTGGACGGGGTAATACTGAGTAAGGAATAGTATCTCATCTGTTAGAGTTTTTTTATTTATTTTAGTACACATATTTGCTCCGAGTTTCATTCGGTGCAAACCTTTCATTCCCGGCAGTAAGCGTTAACTTGGTCTGGCGTTATGCTTCTTCAATCACACCTTAAAAATAGATGTTTTATTTCTTTGTATATTCCAGTGGTTGTTTGTATTTATGTCTCAGTTGTCGTTTTCGCTTCAGAAAGGAGAATTGTGGATGTTGACGAACCAGTTGACCTTATCGTGTTAGTGATACGTTTGGTTATTTCCGTTGCTGTGTGTTTAATAATTGTGTATGCAGTTATTATCAACCTACCGTTTCTGAAGTATTACTTACTCCGATGTTGTAGAAGAGAAGTATTACACAAGAGAAGAGGTAAGAGTGAATGAGAAATAAGCTATACAAGTGTATCAAATAACTGACGAAGAAAGGAGACTTGATTTACATTGTAGATTGCAGTTCGGACAGCTACATCTGGGGCAATGTATATATGTCTAAATTAATGCTTATTTACTTGTGTACGAGCTTATCTTATGTCGTGAATTTACTTGAAAACACACATTCTGTGTTAAATCGTTGATTCATCGAAGACGGTATATAGATTGTTACGACGTAGCCGTCTATCCTAACTAGTTCTATTTCATTTTCGACATGATGTATCTATAACCACTGTTCATGGTTGTGTGAATACATTCAACCTTAACTAGTTGTACACCTGTACACAGATACGGAGGGACTGACCTATGACACGGCACTACTGTATGACACTGACGATACCCAAGCCAGTCTAATTGCGGTCAGCCTGAAAAAGGAACTTTCGTCACGTGGTTTAGATGTTGCTTCTGCTGGTGACGTCTTGGGATGTAAGTATATTATTAATGAGGAAATTAGGAGGTGAAATATAATCATGCATGCAAAATGTAACCATTTCAAGTCGTATATTACCACATTTATCCCATCATCAAAATGTATCCCTTCCATATAGGTATTAGTTGATCAATTCGTACCCTCCAACTCGGTGTTTTTATCAGCCGAGTTGACATCGAAGGTAATCCTCTAGTCTGCTGTGGATACCTCAATGATTTATTTAACTCATTGCAAATCATGATTGAAATATAACAATCGTCATACCTTATAACAGGGCCGCAACGATTAAGCAAATGGTAAAACAGGGATTTCCATGCTATGACGATTGTTATATTCAATATTGCATATTTTGGTTTACTTCTTTTTGATTTCACTCTGTGGTCACATGGTGTTGCTGACGGATGCAATTATGTCTAAGCAGAAAGCTAGCTTAATATTTCATTCTTTGATTTTCTCGGTTTCAATTAAATATGTTTTAACCATTATCAACCCACATCGATGCAATAGGTAATTGTGTACAGAAGATATGTCAAATGTTACAAATGGCTTTTTTAGAAATTTTTATGGAATTAAAATGTATAATTTTATGTTCTGAGAGGACATTCTATCTAAAAATGACCGGTGTATGTAGTAATGCGCAACTGTTCCCCCAATCTTTTAATAACTGGCATCATCCATATTTACAAAGTAGATTTCGAAAGAATATTTCCTGTACGAGACGAAAGGTTATGCATGAAAACTTCCTTCATCTGTGAAATAAGGACAACACCGTACTTACGTTATTACCATGTACATGTACTATATCTTCAGTTGCTTCCGTTGGAAGTAATTTTTGCTTATTTTGATTACTGACAATGATGAACCTCTGATGACAATAGATCGATGCTTTCATAAGTGTCTTTTATTTCAGATCAACCGAAAATGAGAGAACTGGACGCGATACCTACCAGTGCAACAGTGATCTACGTTGTTACTCAAGAATCCTCGATAGACAAATCGCTGACTTTAGCAAGAGACGAAGCTTCGAGATGTAAAACATCAAAAGAACAAATACTTGTGTATACACATCAGGTGCCTTCTGCGTTCAAACAGAATAGCTTATTGACTCTCAGTTGGTTTGAAGACATAAAAAAGAAATGCAGTCGACCTCAGGAACGGTATCAGGTCGTTTCTACCAGCGATACAAACAGAGAATGTGCCAGTGAACCGAATGGAGACTCAAATGGAAATATAGAAAGAAATCCGAATATTAATGGAAATAGTGAGGAGGACAACGTCAACTTTGTGGTACGTGTGTACAGAAAGTGGAGGCGGCAGAAATTTTACAGGACGTTAGAGTTAGGTCTGTCGATTGGTTTCCGGGTGAACAAGGTAGCAGGCACGTCTTTAGCTTACAAGTCCTCAGAAAACAGTTTAACTGAAATATAGTGAACCCAGTAGCTTCTCCTATCGCATTTATAGGTTCTATTTTAGTTACTTGCATTTTTGTAAAGTGTAGACAGCCAGCATTGCAATAATCAAAAACGAGAAATGATATACACATTTATATAGTTTTTTTGATGAATTCTACTTCCCACATCAATATATATTACATATAAAGTCATATTGCATAAAGAAATAACAAAACTTTAGGTACAAATAGTTTAATGAACTATAATACGCAAATGAAACCATCATATAACAGTTATAAAAGAATACTTTCCAAAGTAAATGTGAGTTTGCAAAAGTTAGGGAGGCTTTGAGCCGCAATATGTTCAGTAAACATTTGAAGCAATATTAAGATTTTAAAGTTACACCCTTTCTTATAATACAAATCAATGATATTACGGGTGTTGATACAAAAAACATGATAACAGATACTTTGCAGATTTCAGAAGGACTAAGATAAAAAAAATATTGCTTGAAATAAATATGATGAGTGTTTACATTATAGCAATACTATACAGAAGGTTGTCATAAATTATATACTCTAATAGGTCTCAGTACTCTTACTCAGCGGAGTTTGTGTAATAAATAGATGAATATTTTATGACTGATGAGTTCGTTTATAGAAACATATTTACTATCGTATGGCATTGTTACTATATAACCCTACCAAATTCAGTTGGCATTCATATAGGCTACGAATGCCATGGAACGATTGTTGACGTCATCATTATAATGACGTTATAATTGTTGCGTTGGATACCACTGAACCTCACTGGGAGATGGCTGATCTATTCTTTGAACAAGCATACACGATACATAAATTATTTAAACTAAATGTTGAATAATAGTAAATTTTATTGAATTTTCTATGAGATGAACAGATTCCAAAAATGAAAAATATAAGTATTTAACTGCTTTCAGTTGGCATTCATAGGAAAATGAATTCGAACTGGACAAAGGCAAATCTGACATGAAGCACTAGCTTCATGGAATTTGCCTTTGTCCAGTTGGCATTCATATTACCTATGGATGCCAACTGAAAGCAGTTCAATGCTTAAATGCACATTCACCATAAAATAAAATGACTTAATATTTCGGAAGAAAATGTTACATGAACTAATGTTTAAAATGTATGCGTTAACAGTAACCAATCCAGGCAGAGAGAAACCAGGCCATTAACAGTATGGTAATTGCATATAACGATAACCTTTGCAAATACGCAGGGATTTGCATCACAGAAATGCTTTAACTTTATCAAAAACGGAACGATTATCGGCATCCGGAATCGTGAGTAAACAATATTGATGAAAACATATCCAACTTACAAAACATGGAATGGATACCTGTTAGATCGCTAAAATATAACGACGAATCTATTCTTTAATTAATTGGCACATGCATTAACGACATCTGTGGGAAGACAACTTGATTACTAAGCTTCTCGTATCTAATGATGTAATGAGATGAAGGTGTTAAAGATCACTTCAAAAGTTAACTGATTGTGTATAAAGTCATGTGAAATGTAAAACTTAATACATGGACTAAAACTCTGTTAATGACGTTATATTCAATAGTTTTGGGAGATTAAAAATTTCATCTGACGTCATTTAATATCATAAGATCTCCCGTAAATTGATAACACCCGCATCCCTAAAATTCCAATGGATTCACAGTAAATTTGTATGCAAATTAAAATGATCGCATGTCGCTTTCGACGCTGCTTTCACAACCACTGCGTATATGCAGACGTGATAATCTAATAATGCTAATGGACATCTTTATTGAGGATAAATATGTGTTAAGTCATAAGCTACACATGGTCCTCTGATGTTCTACAGCATTTAGGCTTACATAGATTTACGGGGTATCACACACAGTAACAACCAATGACAAAAACTTGATCGTAAAGATATATATAGATGCGGACTATCTCCCACGATAACCTTTGTATATAACTATGTTATATGAAACTGTAAACGTATTTTGCGCAGCGGTAATTTTCAGTTTTTTTTTTTATATAATTATGTAATTTCAAATGTAAATGTATTTTGTGCAGGAGTAATTTCCAGGAACTTTTGTATATAATTGTGTTATTTCAAATGTAAACGAATTATGCCCAGGGGTAATTTCCATGAACTTTTGTATATAATTTTGTAATTTCAAATTTTAAAACGTATTTTGCGCAGGGGTAATTACCTGGGTGACACGCTGTAAATGTTTTCACGCTAAATGTACCACTTACAATGAGTACATCTAAGTCTCCGACCTTGCAAAAAATACGTTATTTCAAAACGTGATGTATGTGAACCAGAAGTACATGCAGCAAGGATTCCTATTTAATAGTATATGTAAGATTTCTTTAATGATAACGAACTATAACACTTGCTTGATTAAGAATAATATTTGTATTTCCTTATATTTCTATATTTATATATACATTTACTTTCACACAGAGTAATCCAATCCCTGAAGTTTAACATATTAGCATGTAACATACTAAAACTAGTGTTATGGAAGATGTTCAAAACTTTTTCTTTTAGTTCGTAATTAATTATATTTACATACCTTTGTATATGCCAAAAGTTATATAGGTGATTCTATATTTACATTAAATAAATATTTTGTTCAAATCCGTCGTTTGATTTTATCATAAAAATATCGGAAATATGCCAAAGTTAGAGATGTAAAATACAATATTTTGAATGTTATCAGTTTGATTATATGATCGGTAGGGTTGTGGCATGACAAAGATACATCATCAGGTTAAATGTGTTGGGCTGATGTCATAAATAAGTCTAAGGAATAAATACAACATTGAAAAATAAATAAAATGGCTAATTCTTAAAACCCAATGTGAATAGCTATAATTAAGTTTCGAATAATGATAGCCCTACTACTCATGGATGTTTTCATGGAATAGCCGATAATTTCAATTTGTATTGGCCTATTAGTATAGTGTCATTACTATCTATACTGTACTTTGCATCATGTTACGTGTAACAATCCTGGTTATAGCATCAAAGCGAACTAGATACTTAATTATTATAAAATATACTAGCTCAACACATGCTGTCTAGCTATATGTTAACACATGCTGTCTAGGTATATGTTAACACATGTTGCCTACCTATATGTTAACACACGTTGACTAGCTATATGTCAACTCATGCTGTCTAGCTATAGGTTAACACATGCTGAGTAGCTATATGTTAACGCATGCTGTCTAGCTATAGGTTAACACATGCTGAGTAGCTATATGTTAACGCATCTTGACTAGCTATATGTAAACACATGCTGTCTATCTATATGTCAACACATGCTTTCTAGCTATATGTTAACCCATGCTGACTAGCTATATGTTCACACATGCTGACTAGTTATATGTTAACACATGATGACTAGCTATATGTAAACACATGCTGTCTAGGTATATGTTAACACATGATGACTAGCTATATGTAAACACATGCTGTCTAGGTATATGTTAACACATGCTGTCTAGCTCTATGTTAACACATGCTGAGTAGCTATATGTTAACACATGTTGACTAGCTGTATGTTAACACATGCAGACTAGCTATATGTTAAAACATGTTGACTAGCTGTATGTTAACACATGCTGAGTAGCTATATGTTAACGCATGCTGTCTAGCTATATGCTAACACATGCTGACTAGCTGTATGTTAACACATGCTGTCTAGGTATATGTTAACACATGTTGTCTAGCTATATGTTAACGCATGCTGTCTAGCTATGTGTTAACACATGCTGTCTAGCGATATGTCAACACATGCTTTCTAGCTATATGTTAACACATGCTGACTAGCTATATGTTAACACATGCTAATTAGATGCATTTTCACTAGATAATATAACTAAACACATGCTGATTAGATACGTGTTAAATAGAAAGTTTAACATATGCTAATTATATACGTGTTAAATAGCTAGTTTAACACTTGCTAATTAGGTAATGTTAACAAGATAATTAAACACATGCTAATTAGAAATGTGTTAGATAGATAGTTTAACATATACTAATTGTATACGTGTTAAATAGATAACATATGCTAATTGTATACGTGTTAAATAGATAACATATGCTAATTGTATACGTGTTAAATAGATAACATATACTAATTGTATACGTGTTAAATAGATAACATATACTAATTGTATACGTGTTAAATAGATAACATATACTAATTGTATACGTGTTAAATAGATAACATATACTAATTGTATACGTGTTAAATAGATAACATATACTAATTGTATACGTGTTAAATAGATAACATATACTAATTGTATACGTGTTAAATAGATAACATATACTAATTGTATACGTGTTAAATAGATAACATATACTAATTGTATACGTGTTAAATAGATAACATATACTAATTGTATACGTGTTAAATAGATAACATATACTAATTGTATACGTGTTAAATAGATAACATATACTAATTGTATACGTGTTAAATAGATAACATATACTAATTGTATACGTGTTAAATAGATAACATATACTAATTGTATACGTGTTAAATAGATAACATATACTAATTGTATACGTGTTAAATAGATAACATATACTAATTGTATACGTGTTAAATAGATAACATATACTAATTGTATACGTGTTAAATAGATAACATATACTAATTGTATACGTGTTAAATAGATAACATATACTAATTGTATACGTGTTAAATAGATAACATATACTAATTGTATACGTGTTAAATAGATAACATATACTAATTGTATACGTGTTAAATAGATAACATATACTAATTGTATACGTGTTAAATAGATAACATATACTAATTGTATACGTGTTAAATAGATAACATATACTAATTGTATACGTGTTAAATAGATAACATATACTAATTGTATACGTGTTAAATAGATAACATATACTAATTGTATACGTGTTAAATAGATAACATATACTAATTGTATACGTGTTAAATAGATAACATATACTAATTGTATACGTGTTAAATAGATAACATATACTAATTGTATACGTGTTAAATAGATAACATATACTAATTGTATACGTGTTAAATAGATAACATATACTAATTGTATACGTGTTAAATAGATAACATATACTAATTGTATACGTGTTAAATAGATAACATATACTAATTGTATACGTGTTAAATAGATAACATATACTAATTGTATACGTGTTAAATAGATAACATATACTAATTGTATACGTGTTAAATAGATAACATATACTAATTGTATACGTGTTAAATAGATAACATATACTAATTGTATACGTGTTAAATAGATAACATATACTAATTGTATACGTGTTAAATAGATAACATATACTAATTGTATACGTGTTAAATAGATAACATATACTAATTGTATACGTGTTAAATAGATAACATATACTAATTGTATACGTGTTAAATAGATAACATATACTAATTGTATACGTGTTAAATAGATAACATATACTAATTGTATACGTGTTAAATAGATAACATATACTAATTGTATACGTGTTAAATAGATAACATATACTAATTGTATACGTGTTAAATAGATAACATATACTAATTGTATACGTGTTAAATAGATAACATATACTAATTGTATACGTGTTAAATAGATAACATATACTAATTGTATACGTGTTAAATAGATAACATATACTAATTGTATACGTGTTAAATAGATAACATATACTAATTGTATACGTGTTAAATAGATAACATATACTAATTGTATACGTGTTAAATAGATAACATATACTAATTGTATACGTGTTAAATAGATAACATATACTAATTGTATACGTGTTAAATAGATAACATATACTAATTGTATACGTGTTAAATAGATAACATATACTAATTGTATACGTGTTAAATAGATAACATATACTAATTGTATACGTGTTAAATAGATAACATATACTAATTGTATACGTGTTAAATAGATAACATATACTAATTGTATACGTGTTAAATAGATAACATATACTAATTGTATACGTGTTAAATAGATAACATATACTAATTGTATACGTGTTAAATAGATAACATATACTAATTGTATACGTGTTAAATAGATAACATATGCTAATTAGATACATGTTTACTGGATATGTTTATAAGATGCATTTTAACTAGATAATTAAACACATGCTAATTAGTTGACGTTTATAAGATACGTGCCCACTCAATAACTAGATGTGTTCTAACGTAGCTTGTTTTTTCATTTTGTTTGTGAACTGTTGCAAACTATTGATATAACTTTTCTAACTGAAGTCCTTTCCGAGATAAAATCTTACATTCGGTAGTCAAATACTATGAAATCTATTGAACTGGAACTCTTACTTGTACATATCGACTTTATACTTCATTCACTATCCTCTCCTTTCATTACGAAATAAATGTTTTAAATACCTTACCGTCGGCGATTTGTGTTGTCTTTGATACATTTATTTGATATTTGATAATACATGTTGTTTTGAAATGTCTTTGATGCCTAACATTCAGAGATGTCATTCATTTATGCATGTATATCGTAATATTGAATTATAGATTTCATCGTACTTACTATGCACTAGCAAATGAAAATGTGTGGCAAATGAAATATGTATGTATATACTACATAACGAATAACTATATGATTTGCAGTTTTGAATACATGTTCAACGTACACTGGGTATTTCATAATATTTTCACTACATTAAGGAGAAGGTTATGTGAATGTCATAACCCAATTTATAATAATAAGTTCGTTTTAGTGTTTGATTCCCTGCAATTATACATTAGGTGTTCTTTAAATATCAAATAAAAGATGTTATTAAGATCAGTTAAAACGTAATGTTGCATACAATTGTTTTCCTCATATAAATCATACTTTTTTTCTGTACGTGTTGATAAGCAGCCTATTATATTTGTTAAATCAACATATCATTGTAAATTAGTCCTACTGTCATAGGTTTCTGACGCAATCACATTGAAGAGCCTGTGCCATTCTTTACGACATTTGTTTTTCAACGTCTTCTTGATGTCTGAGTTGATCCATCTATTGTGCATTTCCTCTGTTTAGTGTCTCCATCCTCATTGTCTTCATCAAAATATAGTTCCTCTTCCTCATCGTCTTCCTCTTCGTCATCCTCTTCGTCATCCTCAAACTGCATATCTGGATTTGCTTGCGTAGCTAACATTCGAAGACGATCTTGAAAAGCGGCTAGGTCAGAGGCCAGATTAGAGGGAGGTCCCTCATCGTCGTTATATTCGTGTTCTTCCTCCTCCCTCATCTCATCTTCTTTTATTGCCTCTCCTGCATCCGCCTCCGGTGGTTGGTCGTCAGTCGCCCCCAGTCCAGCAAATGCTAGTCCCGGGGGTACGGCCAGGATAGAGAGGTCAGGGGGAGGAAGTACCCCTCCCCGCCGACGTCCTCCAAGTGCCGGGGCATCGTCGTCCTTCTCATCGCCACCTTCCTCTACGACATCCTCGTCATCCAGGAGCATTGACTGCAGGGTCTTACCCTTAATCAACGCCGCCTTCCTCCTGGCGCGAACCTTGCTTAGGTTGGCGAGGACATCATCTAGGAAGGAAGGACAATAGATGATATTAGGACACGTATATCACATAGCTTAGTAGAGAAACCCAGCTAATTAGGAATCGGATCATCCGAGTTAGTTAACTTCTAAACGAAGTTAACTATGTTCATTTAAAAAAAAAACCCACTTTACATCGAATACTTTCTGGAAGAATTGAAATACCGTCAAGTGTTTTAGTTGAGATGTAATAAAATACATAACAATATATAAACCTATATATATCTTAAAAGATTTTGTAACCAAATGGCCGTACGAATATCAGTATAGCATTACGGCAATGTGTAACAATACATGTTTATGGTAGTGTATAATGTATATAATGCTGAGTACTGTTACTGCTAATATAAAGTTATTTGAATGTTTTATTATAAAGTTATTGTTTAGATAGTAATATCATCATAGACTGCTTTGAAGAAAGGAAAGCCAATACAGACGTTAAACAATACTAAACCAAACCAAACCAACGTGAGCTATATTCATTTGGATGATGTAAGATTTTTGTGTTTTCTGTATTGATGATATTACTGGTATTTTAATTTTCTTGACCATTACTTCCTAACCTTTGTTTTCTCACTCTACCCCACAATATATCAAATCAAAACACTTCTACAAGTGTGGTGTGATATTGTAACGATTACTTAACACTATAGCTTACATCCTATAAAACACTTTTACAAGTTCGATGCAATATTGTTTGATATAAAAAGTAGCAAAACAAGAGGTGTTGATCTGGTGTGAAAACAAAATCACGCCAATAAACCAGCTAATACCATAGGTACTGGGTAGCCATTAATGTAATGGCGATGGTTTGGCCTGAGTGACATATGGATACAAAGTTTTAACTTATCAATGAATGGATCATTTATATGGATTGTTATCAGTTGATGATAATATAATAGTATGGTCAAGTCACCGCGTACTAACTTATACTTACCTCTGTCACATCTCTTTTTCATTTTCATTTTTTTTATATGACATGATACAACACATACGGTACATGATTGCAAAACTTAAGAGTTGTTAATAATATATTATTTTTTTTTAATTCACTATGTCACATCTTTCCTCAAATCATATACATATATATTATTTACGATAAAAATACTTATTTACCGTTAACGATGAAATGTGTTTGGTTCTAGTTATATAAACATCCATAATTCACAGTTATGACTATACTTTAAAACAGTTATCGATGGTTTTGTAAAACACATGTTCATTACGACATACAACTATAAAAGAAGAATTCAATTAATACGACATGTTACGAGGTTAGTTCTGGGATCCGTGTTAGGTGAACAGTATATCAACTACAAATAGGGTGAGTCACAAACATGGACGATTAGTAAAACGGTCTATACATATTAACAATATTGATAATTTTACGAGGAACATATGTAATATATATTTGAGTATTTTTTCTTTTTTTCTTTCTTATCCATTCATATACAATCCCTGTGTTTCGAATGACTATGTTCACAAATAAGCTCAAACATCCTCATAATGATATCATTATTGTTATGGTGTATATAATAGGAAAAATAAAAATATGAAATTATTTGGTATTTTTGTTTCGTTTCCCCGAGACATAAGCCATGTACCGCAATTTAGTACTCGTTCTATATCACTGCAAATTAAATCATGAGTTAGACGATTGTTTAATAGGAGTCGCCTCCCCTGCAACAAATCATTGTGAACAAACATGAAACTTAACAGCTTTCTCGTGTGTATTAACATATATGGACATGCACGAGGCGTTAAATCCAAATAGCACGCATAAAGACACTTAAATCAATAAGTAACTTTGACATGACATACGTGTAAACTATTTTGTGGTATTACGTCATCAGATTTTGGGCAAACGTCACGGCATCACAATATGGACACACGACACGTCATCACATTTTACTTACGTCCCTCTCATCTTAAAGCCATGCTGATCAAGATGACTATTTGTTTCCGTATTTGAGAGGATGTCTGGTTTTGTTGCGTTTATTCTAGCTCTTAATTCATATAAATCGACTGAAATACAACAATAGTACATGGGACGCTCAGTATTTAAAAATCAATTCTGATGACAAGCTGAAGTGAGCTGGTGAAACAAGATCTTCCTGCTTAGACATTCGTCGTTATAACAATAACGAATATGGCTTTAAATACTATATGATACAACTTTATAACAATTGAAAATTGTTTGGTTTTCCTTTGGTAAGTGTATATTAAACGGAACTGGAATATTTAAAGCTCACTTGCAATTTCAAGTATGACTATCATGTTATTACCTATCAATGCAGGAAGAGCATGTTTGCCAAGCAAAGACATTTCTGCTTTGTTGAAAGCAATTGTTGTGACTGGCACTAAAAGCAATGATATGTGCTCTAAATGAAGTTTATCACGTTTATGTGGTTGAAGTGGAAGGTTCCCATTTAGACATGCAGTAAATACTCGTTGCTCTCGACACCTCAGTTTCTTGCAAGAAAAGAATATTCTTACACATATACTGTTTGGAGCCTGTATTATCAAGGGTTTTGTTTTATCACAGGGTCTTATTGTCAGTTTTCCAACCGTTCCAACCATATAGACGACAGTGTTACTTAATATCTACAAACTAAGCTAAAACAGCACTGTTTGTAACCAATACGTGGAACAACCAACTATGTCGTAAAGCAATGTGACTGAAGCTGTATACTTTATAAACGATGCATATGTTTTTGCGTTTCTGAGTATGAATCTTAATCACATTCTCATTTTGTATTTACAACCAATATAGCAAGAATTAGCTGCTATTCCAATATAAACGGAACTATATACATATAACGTGATGTGATGTCACTAGAAATACACTGAATAGTGTTAGTTATATAAAGTAAACAAAATGATGATCAAACTTTAAAGAATACAAACACTTCACGTTAATCTTCGACTGTAGTGTTTAACAATTCATATTGTTTTTGAATTTAATTTCACTTTTCACACAGATGCTTGTGCTCATTAATTTAGATTAATATATATTGCATCTTTGTTGTTTTGCCCTAGAACAGCTTGTCTCGACCAAAATTATTGTCGGGTGTAATCATTTGAATATAGTTAGCTTTTTTAAAATGCTGGAAAGCAATGCGATCATGCAAGCAAATAAAATACTGAATGTCTGGTTATAACATGTTAATATTGGAAGGAGGTCAAGGGGGCGGGGCATCAGGGGAGTCTGGGTAACGTATAACATGGTTAAATAAAGTATAGTAACCCTATACCTCCAACTGAAAATTACGCCTAAGGTCAACTGTAAAAGAAAAGACATTACTCATTCATAAAATACAGCAATGTATTACTGTTAAACATACCATATGGAACTTTCATCGTTCCCATCTTCGATAAATATTACAGTCACCTGTTGGTCTATGTTGAGCTCTTGTGCATTAAAGGCACATTCTCTATTACAGGGATATCATTATCCAAATTTCTTACATGATAATTTTGGTAATTCTATATATGATATACAAGTTGAGTTAATTCCACGTTTTTGAATTTGCCATTTTTTGTGAAAAGAAAGGATGCAAAATACAATAGGTTGTGGGATGTCATTAAAGTTCAGTGGTTTTATACAGCAATCTATCTATTTTAGCGGTATGTGATCCTGAACCTGTTTTTCTCATTTACATGTTTATACAGCCAGAGTCTGTGTTGATAATCATAGCATTTCAAATATTATCCCACGTTCATGCAAGATGGGTATAAATATGGTTGACATTTTATTTGTTAACATGTATTGCATTCAATGTAGTTCCATTGGTCGTGTCAGATGTAGACCAAAATATGATCCTGTTTTAGGTATGTGTTTAGGGCCTACATAATGCAAAACACGTGTCATTGTAAAATGTTAGATGATGCTTTCCTTTACGTTTATAATAACTATTATACCTATATTTTGACAATACAAGTGTTTTCGTTTGTTTACAATGAGAAATGATTGTAGTTAGAAGGTAAAATGTAGGACCAGGTTTGTCATTAGCCTAAACAGACCATACAGTCCATATATCATATATCACAAACACTATTCTCACAAGTAAATGGACATTATTTAGATAAATATGTCTATTATTGAGACATTATAAATCGCTAACGCTTAACGACAAACAACCGTGGTCTTACTTTTATTTGGAACGTAATAACCTACGACATTTAGGCACAAATTGTTCATGCAATTTTGTATTTCTCCCAAGTCATTACGTGTTTTCGGGTTTCATTTGAAATTGCATTTGTGTGAAATGAAACACCATTTTGAATAATTTATGATACGTATCACCCCTTTATAAATCACTTGTTCCTAATGAAATTATTGTCTATTGTGCATGTCTTCATAACAAAATGAGGCTCACTATCGTCAGCTAAAGTAGAAACAGAACAGACTTGTGTTAATGTTGTCTACTGGTGAAACCCATAGCCTTACCTTTAACCAACCGCTGATACACCTTAGCAGCTAATAACAATATTCTACATTTTATAAAGACCAGACTTTAAAGAAAAAACTTTGTTTACGTTTTAATGACAAATTTCCAACATGAAAAAAATAATATATGATTCAAATACATCAGACTATTAAGAATTTGTTAAATTAATAATGTTGCACAACATTGTATATCAAGACACAATAGTTTCAATTTGGAAAATCACATATAACCAAACAAATTGACCTCACTGAATATCTAGCTGACTTGGTGATATACATGGTAAGTTAAGGTCATAATTGTATTAATTGATATATGTTTGTGAAGAACAGTGAAGTAGTTAACAGTCAGAAAACTGTGAGTCTACTTTCTACAATAAAACACCATAGCTGTGACAATAGGAAACAGAGGAAAGAAAGATGTGTGAAGTAGTCATTAAAATAAAATGTCATACTTATTCGGTCTAGAATTCGAATGATAATAGATGTAAAAATCTTTATTATATAAGATTATATATATGTATAAAATATAATTCAGTCATAACATAAAAATTTAAGATAACGTGAATTGAAGTGATTTAAATTAGTATAAATAATCATAAAAAACAAGATTGAAGTATACATTAAAAGCAGACACGTGAAAAAATAATATGGAAATATTTTTACAAATAAGTGAACAACTGCCTTACATAAATACCATACATGATAAAACGTATGAACGGAATATAAAACGACTAGGAGTACTTTGATCAGATTTGTTGAAAATACCTTCGCGAAGAACGTGACTCTGAATGTGTTTCTTTTGGGAATCAGGTTGTAAAGGATATTTTCAAATGTGATAGCTTTTTTGATTTTGCAGTGTTATTACTAACGGTAATACTCGGTGATCAGAGCTAGAACATCGTCTGAGCAGTGTTTTCGTATTACATATGTTACGTTTGATTTGAAGTGAACGTAAATGTCTGTGGTCTCATTGGATATTGTTTTGTGGTATTTGTCTAAACAAACAAATATGGCAATTAAAATGGCAAAATTACCAGAGCGTCAATACTCTATAGATTAGAAAGTATCAGCAACAATGACTTACATCATATACGTTAAAGCATTTCTAAATACTTAAAATACGGTGTAGCGCAAAAATCAATTCCGTTGGGTATCGCAGTTCCAATATCTATTTTAAGATCTTGCAGCATGGTAAGTAAATTGCAAAATAAAAGTTATACGTTTCTGTTTTATTTTAAAATCGTTTCCCTTCTTTACACATTATATATACTTATGTGTACACTTTTGAACACAAACACGGTTGCATTATCAGTACCCATTCACCATAAGCGTAAAACCTACACAATGTGTGAACCGAGCAATTTGTTCAAATAAAGTGATGTAACCTGCTCCGTGCTAGCGTGTATACATAAAAATGAAGAGCTGATGCAAAAGTAACCTTACCTCGCTTCTTCTCGCGTGGTTGGACGAGATATGCCGGGTCAACGTGCTCTTTGCACATATCACATTCTTTGGTTTCTAGCGTCTGTGTGTCAGAAGGGGTAAGCCACTCCCCAATAAAGGAGGGTTCCTCACAGCGGGGACAGTGCATTAGCCTCTCCACCAGAACACCTACACAAGTAAGACAATAACCAATGGAAACACATAAAAATCAACCAATCGAACACTTCATCATGAAAGAATGGTGTACAAGGGCAGCTATCTAAATGAATCACGCTGCCATAAAGTCTCTGTAGTCTTGGATTACCATATTGAGATTGATACCATACTAACGGCTGAGTGAATTTGCCTTGTGTTATGTGAATGACTTGAATTCATCGAACGTTGCCGCACATATTTACATAACGTTTGATTACAATTATTATATTTTTACAATATCTTTTTTTTTTGATCTTTTTGAACAACAGTTATGTTATATTTTTATCAACATTTTATCAAGTGGGGCCCTACTGGATTAACTGAACAGAAGTTATCATCAGGACTTGTTGTCCCTTCTGTAAATGATATCATATAAAATGTCACGATTTCTAGTTTGTACTTAAAGTATTGATGTCAACATAAACAAGATAAGAATGAGATAAGTTCATGTTATAAGATTATTTACCATGATAGGTTTTGATAACCCCCTCGAATTCCATCAGAAGCGGCAGTAGAACAGTCCACATATTGGAGGGTGGCGTGTCTTCATATGCGTCCTCTTTGGTGTTATCACGAACCTCAAACTTGAGGTTGGTTCCTTTTCCGTTACTGCTCTGACAGTAACTGATTTTAACAAGTACAATCTCCTCAGTGTGCTCGGCAAGTACTCCCCCTCCCCATTGTGCCAGATATTTCAAATTGTTCTTTTTCTTTTTTTGACAGCGAACACTAATGATTTCAAACAATCCCGGTGGCATGTACTTTGGAAATTGTAACAAAGCTACTAATTTTTTCCTGTTTTTGATTTTGTCCCATTTTTCCAGGCAATCCTTGGATTCATCTACTTTTCGGAGCCAGGGCATGAGTATTTTGGTCACTTGGATATTACCGTCTTCGTCTGGATCAACATGGAACCTGTATGTGTTGTCCTTCCTTCTTTGAATGGGATAACCGACCTGGAAAGCGTCGATGAGTAACGTTTCCACAATGCTGAAAGGACCGTTGTCGTCCATAGGAAGCAGATGTCCCAAAATTCCTCTCAGCAACTCGGATTCCATGATTCCCTCTTCGAGAAGCAACTTCTTGTAGCGCTCAAAGCGGTTGATGCTGAACCCGATAGCCTTGAATGAATCATTTGTGTCGTAGTTAAGCACAGCCATCTGATCATGTCTGTAAACATGTCTGAGCAGCTCAAATAACCAAGAGGGTCTGATGAACACATACTGGGAGAGGACAGGGTTATTAGCAAACCAGATGACTCGACCAGTCTCATGGAGATAGCAAGTAATATCCTTCATCATCCTCTTCATGCCAAATTTATCAGTGATTTCATCAAAGAAATCGTCGTATTTCATGATTGGCACAATCATTGTATTTCCCTTTTCTTCAATATAGTTTTGAACTTCGACCCAAAATGTCGGTACAACAGACATAACGTCCGGGAAAAGTCTTTTGTTGTTGGCCAGTTCGTCCAGAGCTGATCGAAGCTGATCATATCCAACGTACTCCTTTGCACTTGTTACAATGAGTTCTGTTTGTATCTGAAGTGTTTCCATACAGGAGAGTAGTCTCTTGAGAGCGATAAGTTGATCCGAGTGAGTTGCCTTGATTTCGGGAATAGCGTCAATCTTTGCTATTCGTCGCTTGATGAGGTTCTCATGTTGCTGTCTGAAGGTGTCTAATCGTGCTTTTACATCGAATGTTATCTGCTTCAGACGCGACTCTGACACAAGGTCACTATGTGTTCCTACTAGTAGTACGACCAGTCTGTTGGTTTTTGCTATCATCCAGTCAAACCACGATCCGATCATATCGTCGAACTTGTTCGACGAGTATTGCTTCATGTTAAAAGTCAATACTGCAATGGAAGGTTGCTCTAGGAATACGTAATGGGGATACAGATAGAAAGGATCACCACAAAAATCCCAGATGCTGAACTGCAAATACTTGCCCTGCTCTGCCTTGTGCTCCTCGTAGTCTATCCGCATGTCATAAGCCTCAACACCTGCATTGATCTCACTCGCATTGTCTACTAGTCGACCTTGCTGATCTACTAAAGACTGCACCAAGCTCGTCTTACCACTCTTTGTAGAGCCTAGCACCACCACTTTCACACCTCTATACACCGTGGCGTTAATTCGCGCCTCGTGCATGTACTGAAGAATTGAACGCATCCCGGTAACATCCGGAGGAGGAAACGTCAAAGGATTGTCGTCAACAAACAAATCCTGATCAGGATTCCGCTCTAATTGTTTCATGGCGTTCATATCAAGTTTTTTTATTTGGTTTTTACTCAAGTCTAGTTTTATAGACATTTGTAGCAGATGACCCGGGAAATTGGTGATGTCGTTTTCTGATAAGTCCACATCGGACACCCAATGTTTATTGTGAACTCTGACGTTGAAGGAGGACACTTTTGTGATTTTGTTGTGACTAGCATTCAAAGCATCCAGTTTTGGTAACATGAACACGTCCGTAGGTAAAACGACAATTTTGTTACAGGACAAATCCATGTCCTTCAAGCTTTTCAGTTGACGTACATCTGTTCCTATATCCCGAATGTTGTTATTGCTACATCGGAACACTTCGAGCTTTTTCATGTGGCTAATGTCTTTGAACACCCCTGAGAGCTTGTTGTGGTCCACGACCAATATTTGAACACGTCTTGATTTTTCGAGACCTTTTAATGATTCTATGTTATTGTAACTTAGGTCTAACCGTGATAAACACTTCAACTTCTTCAGTGAGGCCGGTACCCGCGTTAGCCGGTTATCAGTTAGGTTGAGTTCAACAAGGTTTTCCAGCACCTTCATCGAATCTGGAAGTCCTCCGTCGGGAATGCAGTTATGACTCAAGTCCAATTTTTCTAGGTTGACGAGTTTGTTTACTAAGTGATCTGGAACAGATTTTATGTTTAAACTTGGTATCATCAATCTCTTTATAGTCTCTGCCAGGTTTTGAACATTTTCTATGGTTTCCTTCTCCAGGTCGAAGAGCCGAAGAGACACTGCTTTTTCGCGTTGTTTTGTTGGCAGGCGCTCCGGATGCATATGCCGGGCACCTTGGAATCCCATATGCGACATTGGTCTTGTTATTACGAGCACTGGTTCTATCAAAGATTTGATGCGCTTTGGCTTTCTATGTGCATATGCTGTTGTGGTAGTCCCACTAAACTTTTGCTTCCTATGCATTTTCATTGGTCCACTTATTTTGTGACGTCACCTCCTTCGAATCGCTGAGAGTTACCTCCCCTCGAATCTTTCGTCGATCTAATATGATTTCTGTGTTTACATCCTGCAATGAAATGAAATAACATCATTAATAAAATTCGAAAAACGTTTGGATGAGGTGATCGCAGTAGAAAGCATCTGTCACGATTTTGTAAGGGAGTTCAAATAGATCTTTAGAATATGCCTATGCTTTCCTGTTTTTACCTAAATAGAAATAGATGCTAAATAGAAAACTTGCAGTGTTTCATCTTTCTCCAATGCGGTAGCATTTGTCAATATTATACAGAAATAAGATAATGTAATAATGATATGTTTCGTAATGAAGTTAGACCAAAGAGTAAATAATCGTTAGAAACTATATTCATATCAATGAAATGATGTAATATCTCCTATATTTGTCATCAATGTGAATAGATGACTAAACGCCAGCTTCAAGAAAGACATTGATATAAACTCTCTGAAATTGCAAATGAATTATTTCTGAAAATAATCGGTTAAATGCTGCTTAAAAATATACAGTACCTCGAACGTGTGAATGAACTAGTACATACATTCCAAATGGTGTACATACTGGCTCCCACACATAGGTTCCAATATTTACTACAAACCAATGTAGAGGCCAAATAAACCCGAGACATTAGACGCCAGTAACACAGAACTCAGGTTATACACCTCAATGCTAGTGTAACGTATACCGTAGCATTCCGTGTGCTACCAACTCCGACTTCCCGTATATAGATTGCATATTGTTAGGTTGGGTAGGACGTTGTAGCAGATAGATCTCCTACAACTGGAAAAAGAATCATACTGCATATTTGACACCGTGTCAATTCTGGAAATTAACCTTGGAATAGTATTGACATGAACATAATATTATAAGTTTATGTGAGTGCCTTACTATATCACTCAGTATCCAAGTAATCATGAAGGTTCCATTTTCGTTAAGTTGGCAGCAACGTGCACTCAAATATTTACTGAAACCCCTTAAAGCTTTTTAAACAATAGCAGACGTCCTTGGTACTGCATATAACTTACGGCAATGCTAACTCTGTGAACAGTCAGTGTCCTGGGAATACCGTATACAATATCAAATTCATACAATGTATTCTAACAGTGAGGTTCTTATTTGTTTTCTGAGTGAGTAGGTACATACAAGTGCAGTAAAGACGATTCTTTATCTAGCTGTAAAAACATGTGAAACTAATCCCATAAAATAATATTTGTTAGGACTAAAACGTGCTCAACCTCAATCGGAGATTAAAAAACTCTAATTGTACAAATGTTTGCCATTAAATTGTGTTTTAAATACCCGTGCATCGGTCACAGGTCACAGGTCAGCTGCCAGATGGACCTAATGGTATACAATCTGTCTGATCAGAGAGATAAATACAATTAAAATCCGCACTGTTTCACATTTAATTCAGTACGACACGATACTCATTCAAGTTCCAAATACTGACAGGTTTATTATGGGACAAATCGGCAAAATGTAGAAAGCTCATCCGTCATGGAAGCTTACAGTGTATTACAAAGGTAGGAAAAGGATGCTTATTTCAATCCTTTGCACTTTGAAGTTAGATAATTTTAGTCATAAAATAAATGTATGATTTCTTTAATTTCAGTTGAAAATATTTTAAAAGATTTATGTTTTTATTTAAACACATGTGTTCGTATGTCCTCAGTATACGATTTCGATATTTAACGTAAATTTTTCGTGATTTTACCTCTTATTTCTTATTCTGAATACACCAAAACGTACGACCTGTGTCCAGGAGCTGTGCAAACCAACATCTCTCCCTTTCGGGAGAATACAAACAAGCCATCCAAATCGACTCCCAGTATACCTTTATGTGCGCTATAGGATTCCCAATCGATGAGATTGACAAACAATTTATTGTCAGTATTGACTGTTATTTCCAGGATACTGTCACAAAATAAATTTAGATGTTTTATTACTCAAATCTATCACTTAAAATAAAAATTTCGTGATAAATATGCCTTTATCAAATAAAACGTTACATTACATGACGATCTATCAAATCAAGTTTCATAAAATAGTGTTAACGATGACAAGAAAACATACCTGATGTCTTGAGAACGTTACAGCCTTGTTTGACACACCTGCCACGCATCGACCAGTAGCCAGGTAATCATAGCACAGGTAACGCTCACCTGCTTACACACCGGTCTTAAAGTTTATGTCTCAGGGTTTGTCGTGATTACAAAGATTATCAAGTATTTGATTTATTTTAAATACTCTATTGGATCAGGTAAACAAGACTAGGTTTATAAGAATGGCAGGAGTTTGTAGGAGCGATAACCCGGTGGCCTTAAATGTTATCGGATTTGATTTATTGTTGCTCATGTATATAAGTTTTCTTTTCAGATTAATTTATTTTATAGAAACAATGCTCGTAAGAAACAAATTGCCTTCAATGAAAAGCTGCATGCTAAACCGTTTAGTGTACGTCTATAGCGGATAAAACGGTAAAATACGCTAGTCAATGTAAAAAGAAAACTATTTGCTTGCTATCTGGTCTGTAATTTACCTGATACTTCTGAGCTTGATGGAGGACTTAAGAACTGACTATTGGTATGTGATGTATGAATACAAATGCTTAAACGGTTTATTTCATTTCATCAAATTTTAGAGTACCAACTGAAAAGAAAATCATATTAATTCCATACTTAAACTTCTCGCTAACCATATACGGCTCCTCTGGGTCAGAGGGGTCTTACTGCTAATTAAGGTCAATGGCATGTCGTTTCCTGTTAACATATTAAGTGTCGGTAAACCTGTCAAAACAAAACGCAATGTTGCTTCATATTGTTACAGCGGGTTATATAGTCGTATGTCGCCTATCACCTCTAACCGATAACTTACACTAAGGGCGGAAATGTTAACATATCACCCGTCTCTCTGGTTGCCTACACTATTAGATTGCTATTTGGCGACATATCTCGATATTTTCTGACAGCTAACTTTACTGACTCGGCACATTGCGGTATTGTGATATTGTTTGCTTGACATTTTCGAAAGCTCATGAAACAAGTGTTCAATTACTGTTTGTGTTCAATAACTGTTTGTTTTCAAAACAGACAAAGCATTACATCCTTCAATACCTCAGAGAAGGTAGCACTTTGTTTTGTCTGATAGGAAAAATCAGTTATTGAACTGGCGATGATAATGAATGTTATCCATCATCATGAGTACTAAGTACATAAAGCAACATCAAGAACAAATCTTTTAAAGCCTACCTTCATGTTGTCGTTTGATTAAAAGGCAATCACCAAATAGGATTTATATCAATTCCAAAATGATGTCCACAATGCGAGCTGATGTTTGATAGAAACACTTTATAACTCAAATGTCATACCGAAGTATATATACTAAAATATGCTAAGACAGAATCATAATTAAATAATAATTTGTCACCAATCTTCTTCATGTTGTTGGATCCAGTAGTACATCCCATGCACTTTGAATTATATCAGACAAGTGTCCTCTGTTTTCATCAGAGGTAGCACATCATATCATAGCAAAACGTACGGTCGATTATCTCTTTCGATATATTACCTGAACATCATATGAATCAGCACAAGGTCAATATCTTTCAAAAGAAGTCGACAGTGATATTGGAAAAATGTACATAGAGCAGAGTCTAAAACGGTTACTGCTTAATTCAGTTAAAGAAATTGAGAAACTGACAAAGGACGATAATGTTAATTCAATTGTCTGATCAAACTATATGCTATCTCAATTGATCGTCCGGGGGTATGGAAGTCGGAAGTCGCTTGTTACTTGAATAAAACACATTGTATACGGCCATTAAGTCACTGTTCTAATTGGAATACACTTCATTTACAAATCCGGCGTACTAACGTACCATAGTGTTTATAGGACGTAGATTTCACTTCTAATAAAGACCACTTCACTCCCTGTAGAGATCGACTGCCTAATGTAAACACCGTTCCTAGAACTACTTTAAAAGATCTTCTTCACGTTCAATGCAGACTGTCATCATATAGGTTTCTCTTCATCGCAGATCACATAAAGACAAAATTCACAGCAACGGTATTCAGTTCCATGATGAACGTTCGATCCAAATATCCATAGGTGTTTCATATATGTTATAAATGGCTTGTCTGATGGTGGTCTGGGCGTGAGAATAAGATTCTAAGGAGTCTGTCATGATTATATACTTGAAATCTGCCTCGACATGGGAGTGCAAATCCTTTTCCCGATGGTTCGTATATTTGTCTTCAACTGTAGAAAATCAATATTTATACACCAGGTGATATGTATACCGGTACATTGCTTTCCTTTACATCGATTCAGTACTCACTAAAGACAAGCGCCTGTCTGACACATATCACAAACGTCCATTCAACCAAGACACAAAGAAAGTCACTTTTGCATAACAACGCCAAACAGTGTCTATTTACCCGTACACTTTATAGACATAAACAGTCTGTTTCAGGTGTTGGCATTTAAACTCGTTAATGTGTTGTCTCCTTGACTAGAACCTATATAGGTCTACTAGTCTTTTTGTAACAGTTGTATTAGTTCTGTGTCATTTTCAATTGTATTCAAACCTACCAATCGGTATTGAATAATTGAAAAGAAAAAAAAAAAACATTTTAACTATTGGCCGATAAAATCTAACAATCTAAATATAACTGATATGTAAAACAAAAATCTACAACATTGAACCAGGATGTGATCTTCATTCATGTCATTTTTTCTACCTAATCACATGCCTATTTAGAATATATATGTGGTAGTAGATATATAGTAACAGAGATGTAAAAAATGGTCTTTTCAAACGACCATAAACTAGTTTGTGTAATGACTCCACCCCTATCGATCCGTATTGATAACCGTGGTTATACAGCATATGGCACATATAGGCATTAGTGCAAATGTGGTAAACACGTATCATACTATATAGACTTAGCCTTACCTTTGGCGGCTTTAGATTGGTATGGCGGCCTTGGAAAATGAACGTAGTTGTATAGTCTATATCCTATGTAGTAAGACTTAATGATTACAGGAAAATGAAACACGAGTCTATTTTACGTCAGACTCAACCTCGGAACAGAATACTGCTGACAAGGATTCGAATTTTAAGCAAGCATAACGTGATTGTCAACACGCAAAACTAAGTCTCCATTCCAAGAAAAGGCCCCGTATGTGAACAGAAACAATGAGATGACAAATAAAAAAGGCGGATATTGCAAACAAGGGTATATGAGGTGTGCTTAAGCAAAAGGACGCATAGACTGTCGGACAGACTGACGGACGGGCTGACAGACGGACTGACGGACAGACTGTCGGACTTGAGAACGGAGTAAAAACCTGTATTACAGCCCGGTAGTACTGATGAGGTCCTTATGAACAGACAGTAGGACAAGGGTTGGTGTACGTATATGAAAGTTATCAGTTAAACAATGACTGCATCATGATTTCTTATGGAGCTGTTTGGATAAGTGAATATACAATCTGGAATTATAATTAGCATACAGTTTGCGCAATACCTCATCACTAATTATTCATTAATAAATAAATTAATATAATACATGTTCATTTTAGGTGATTGGAACAGTATCGTAAAGGTTCTAATATAAAAGACAAATCAAATCAAAAGTTGTTAGATATATCCGGAGTCATCTATCATAAAGCTATCGGTCAATGTATTCAATTCTGCCTATGCAGCGTTAGCATGCTGTTCAGAGGAGCACATATTCATAGACAAATTCAATTAACGCGTACATTTGATTAAAGTCTATCTTCAAAAACTCACAAACATATGAACATTTCAAAATCAAACTGAATTAATTGATTAAGATAACGAAAAAATCCATCATAAACCTTAAGAAGTTTCTTTCACTAAACATTAATTATATTCGATCTAAATGACAGTATCGCAAGATTGGATAATTCAATTAATGATCAGTTTGTGCAGTGATAAAGAATGCTACACGCTGATAATACGGTATTGTGGTAAGGACAGGAGCTATTCAAAATAGCATAATACCTATCATGATGACAAGTACCTCAGGAAGAAATCAAGCGTATCTCAATTATTCAGCAATTGGTAATAACGAAACTCAAAAAGCGTACGTTCCCTACCTACATAACATCCCCTGTGTAATGTTTTTGAAATCCATATGTCTTTCACCAGATCAAACAGTTGAAATATTTTTGAAATATGTATATCTATAATGTCTCTTATTTATTTACAGCACTTAACGTTTTCGACACCATAGTGACAAAGATATTCCCTGTTCAAATAAAGCTTTGTAGAAATTATTTTTGGTTCAAATATTATTCCACACCAAATGAATATGTATTCTACTTCCCACCTAGTGCGTTTACTCTGTATTGCTAAATAAATATGTCCTTTTGAAATGCTCATCCAAACACAGTATGTCAATAGACACGACTTGGGCGTCGTTTTACAAAAGGAAACTGCTATAGATAATTTATCTTACAACAAAAGAAACAAGACATGTTAGCCACACAGAGATGTTATATCAATAAGTTCATTATCTAACCACTTGTATGTATGTAAACATAGTGTCGGGAAACATTATTAATGTATCTTGAGCAATATTTTCAAAGCCTGGCTTTCTTTATCTTTCTTGTGATTTGTTTAGTTAATCGGGAGTCACCAAGAGAGATACAATTTCTAGGGTTCAAAGAGATCAGCTGAATACATAAGAGCTCGACGACATTACATTGTGTAAAGGTTTTAAAATGATGGTGAACATTTTATTTATCTAATTTTCCCGATACTAATTCAATGAAGCATTTAAACAGCCGAGCATTGTAAATATCATAACGTGAAATTAACGTGACATTATTTGTATAACAGATGTTATTCCACAAGTACAATTTTAGATTTATAATGATCATATCAGAAGGCTAAACTCTTAGTATTTTGTAAACACTTTTGAGAAAAATCTACATATCTATATTAAACATCAGATGAGTAACCACTGGAAATCCAAAGAAGTGATACGCCTATTTAAATATTTTGTTTGTAAGTAAACATGTTCAGCACAACATGTCTATTTCATCCATTCAAAACTAATCAGTAGAATGAAATAGCAAACATTTAATTAAGTAAACAATCGAAAGGAAAAGTCACCTCTAAAATCCTTTCTACGTTTAAAAAAATTCTGGCTACAACAGATAACCTATACTTATACTAGTATTTCAAGTAAACCCTACCAGAATAATTTATACGCTACACCCAACCTACAATATACCATATATCCTGTATCCAGACTTATGTCAATATTGTTTACAAAAATGGCTGACAATAGAGCCTTCCCTGCGGTTTACGTACGTGGTTTGAACGTTGTTGGGAGGAATCAGTTTATATTACTATAGTGTGTTAAGATACAAAAACCATGTCTTTGAATACAATGCCCTATCAATATGAGCCGTTGATCTTAATTCCAGAGATTGTTTACACAGGTAAATGTGATATTATATTAGTTTAAGGAATTGTCTACGAAGTTTAATATCCCACATTAGGATCCGAACAATGCTGAGTACATAGACCCGCTTGATATGTTTTTTCTATTTTCTGTAGGAAACATAACACTCGTCAGAATATGACAGGTGAAGCACTGACACATATTCATGTGTCATGTCCACCAACTCGTGTAGAAATCACAACATCACCATTATAACATAGCGTAAGCCTTTCCAGCTCGGCTGGATTATTTCGTCATTATACGTTGAGAGTCACATGAGTGCAATCAATATCGATGAACCCTATGAGTAATAAACATAACATGCTACAAAGTCCTAAACAAGATCAGCAATAAAACACCAGCTTGTTCGGTGACTGAGTATAATGGTGAGGTTACGGACAATTGAACCGTACGGTATATATACCTAAGCATTTAGCAAAGAGCGGAGGATGTTAGGGTACCTCATTAGACATTGCATCAATGATATTGACTAAAACTATGATACGAAATACATGGAATGTGTTGGTAAGTTAACCATAAAAGACCAGATAATAATAGACATTTTAACAATAACAGTGATTGAGATGGTATTTAAAATTTGAATTTCCCAATTCATACTATAAGTTTTCATAGAACCATTATTTAATGTACATGCTATTTCTGTCCAAAATAATTATTATATAACGCTAAGTACAATATGTAGTGCAATTTATATTTATATAAACTTGTAATATATTGAAATATATATAGATGTATACAAAAATGTATACAGGTATAATGATACGTAGAATGTATACAGGTATAATCATATGTAGAATGTATACAGGTATAATCATATGTAGAATGTATACAGGTATAATCATATGTAGAATGTATACAGGTATAATCATATGTAGAATGTATACAGGTATAATCATATGTAGAATGTATACAGGTATAATCATATGTAGAATGTATACAGGTATAATCATATGTAGAATGTATACAGGTATAATCATATGTAGAATGTATACAGGTATAATCATATGTAGAATGTATACAGGTATAATCATATGTAGAATGTATACAGGTATAATCATATGTAGAATGTATACAGGTATAATCATATGTAGAATGTATACAGGTATAATCATATGTAGAATGTATACAGGTATAATCATATGTAGAATGTATACAGGTATAATCATATGTAGAATGTATACAGGTATAATCATATGTAGAATGTATACAGGTATAATCATATGTAGAATGTATACAGGTATAATCATATGTAGAATGTATACAGGTATAATCATATGTAGAATGTATACAGGTATAATCATATGTAGAATGTATACAGGTATAATCATATGTAGAATGTATACAGGTATAATCATATGTAGAATGTATACAGGTATAATCATATGTAGAATGTATACAGGTATAATCATATGTAGAATGTATACAGGTATAATCATATGTAGAATGTATACAGGTATAATCATATGTAGAATGTATACAGGTATAATCATATGTAGAATGTATACAGGTATAATCATATGTAGAATGTATACAGGTATAATCATATGTAGAATGTATACAGGTATAATCATATGTAGAATGTATACAGGTATAATCATATGTAGAATGTATACAGGTATAATCATATGTAGAATGTATACAGGTATAATCATATGTAGAATGTATACAGGTATAATCATATGTAGAATGTATACAGGTATAATCATACGTAGAATGTATACAGGTATAATCATACGTAGAATGTATACAGGTATAACAATTTGTAAATGTATATAAGATACGCTGAGTCGTGATTATGTAGAATTGTACAGATAATTAGGTCAATGGCTGTAGAATATGCACGTTAATCTGTTTATCGGTTGTAAGATATTCGGATCTTTATATAAAATTTGCAACTGCACCTAGAACATGTAACGTTATGTAGAGTTTTCCCATCCCTATTTTGTGAGTTTTGGCAGATGACTCTCTTAGCAAACATTTTTTAATTAAAAACGAAAATGCTGCTTCCAATATTTGATATTTAAATTCAATGGGCATGTTA